AGTAAATGTTGTAACATCAGTCATCTTCACATGCATCAGACTTCATTTTGTCGCAGCCAGTCGATTCCTGGCGCTGTGCGTTACCTTGACGTTCTGCGCCTGGGTCGCGATACGGGCGCTAGCCCAGCGAGTGAAGATATGCCGAGAGTCATACATCAATACACGCCTACCCTACGTAGCAAGACATTCCAAAAGGCCGCTGCTCAGCGCTACGCCCAGCGTCGCGCCTTCCTCTTCCCTCTCCATCCAAGGAAAACCACTGAACCTCACGCCGTAACATTCTTGACAAGCAGGGGCATCTGCGATCCCGTCTCGCCCTTGACCTCGGGCCTGAGGGTGAACATCATAGTCCGCTCGATCTTGGGCTGGCTCGGCAGAGGGGCAAACTCGAACGCGCGCAGGAGCGCAAACAGCGCGACTTTGAGCTCGTTCAGAGCCAAACGGTAGCCGATACAGGCATGGGGGCCGGTCGAGAACGTGCACGCGCTAATGTCAGCTATCGCCGCTCCCATTCTCCGCGGAACTTACTTCTTGACGATCCCGGGGATGGGCATTCGCGGCCATCCCTCCTCCTCGAACCTCTCGGGCTTGAACTCCATCGCATCCTCGCCCCAAAGCTCGGGAGCGGTGTGCATCCCAGAAAAGCTGAGGAGGACGTAGGTGCCCTTCTTGACGGCGACTTCGGACATCATGCGCCCATCCCGCCCCTTGACGGGGACTTCGAGGGGGAGCACCGTATCCTTCGCCGCCTCGCGCACCGTGCACGTCACGGGGCTATCCAAGCGCAGGCTCTCGCGCACGACATGGTCCAGATACGGCGCAGCATCCAACACACTCATATCCGGAGCGTCTGCGAGTTCCTGCAGTTCGGCCCGCAATTTGCTCTGCACGCGCGGGTTCTCGGCGAGTCGATACAAGACAGCAGACAGGGTCGACGAGCCGGCAAACAGCATCGTGGCGATCTGGTCGCGTACCTCGTCGTCGCTCATTGCCGCCTTGCCCGACTCTCTGGCATTGGCGGCCATGAGCCTGGAGAGAATATCCTTGCCCGCCTCCTCCTCGCTGAGCTCCATACCCCCACCGAGATCGTGGATCTCGGCCCGCTTGCGCGCGACGAATTTGGCGCTGATCTGGTCCACCGACTTCTTGCACCGGTCCACGATGCGGCGCGGTTTCGTCGGAATCAGGTCTAGGAGCGGGAACTGGTTCTGCGCCTCTGTCATTAACGCGTCTTCCGCGCACGCGTCGACGAGGTTGGCAAAGTCCTCTGCCAGTGGGTCGCTGGGTCCTTTGCGCGACAGAGAGTCGAAATCATGACCAAAGCCACAGAGTCCGATCACGTCGGCGGAGAAAGAGTTCATGTGCCGGATCACGTCAATCTTGCGCGCACCGGGTACGCGGTCCTCGGGCTTCGGGGGGCGGGCGGCGAGGTCCTCGAGCGTGTCGTCTGCGATCAGGGCTTGGAAAAGCTGAACCAGTTCTGCAGCCTTCGTCCACAGTACGGGGCCCATGGACGCCAGAGCAGAGGTCGAGAATGCAGGGGAGAGCACGCGCCGTTGCCGCTTGTGCTGCGCTCCTTCGACAGTCACGAGTCCCTCGCCCGTGACGCGGCGCATGATCGTCTTGAAGTCCGTTGGCTTGACCCATTCGTCTGGCCGGCCCAGAATGTGTCCAATGGCTCCCGGGTCGAGCGTGTACATCCGCTCCGTGCCGAAGAGGAAGCGATAGCGGCCCGTCCATCCCAACTTCACCCAGTCGGGGGACACGAGCGTGTCGCGGCATGTCTCGAGGTCGACTAGGTTGCCCAGCACGGGCGAGTACCACTTGAACGACGGGCCGGGGAGGTTGTAGAAGTCTTTCGTGTTGTTGTTCGAACTCCAGAAGTGGTAGACGAGGGCTGCTACCACGGCCAAAGCGGTGAGGAGCCAGATCATGTCGCCCGACAGGTTAACAGATTATCGTAAGCTGGCGAGTCGAGAAACGGAGCGAGGTTGAGCAGTCAGAGAGCGATTTGAGAACCGAAAGCCCGGGAGTCTTGTGTCGTCGTTGTCGGCTTGATTGCTCGTTGCTGTCTAGACAAGAAGAGATATGGGGAGTCGTTGTGAGAACGTCCTGCTCGACGGGCAGCTCGAGGTGACTGTCCAGTGCGGGAGGCAGCGAACGGCCAAACCCAAAATGCCCGCTCCAGGATTCGTTGAGCTCGCGACGTCATCGGCCAGCCCCGAGGTTGCCTTCCCTGCGTTTCGGACCTGAGGCCATTCACCGCCAGAAAGAAGTTATACCCACCTTCTCCTACTTTGACTGATGTTCATGTTGCGTCGGGGTTCTGGGATCGGGGAAGAGAAGGGCAGAGATGATGTGACAGAAGTAGCGTGATTGCCACACGGTAATCAACCCGAGACTGTGCCCTCGTCGGCTCCGATAGCGTCCTAAAGCAACCCCGAGGCTCGCGGCTATGCTGTCTTGGACTTCCTCTCACGGCTATCTGAGTCTGAGATAAACCTCAGCTTCAACGCGCTGCTCTAGAAGGTGTTTCGCGGACCAACTTCTGCGCTATCGCCAGTTGTGTCAATGCGCGGCCATGTCTGCAGACCAACTCGCCCGAGTACTTTCCTGCGTAGCTCCAAACTAGTAATATAGGTCTGAAACTCACCCACCCATCTTCCCTCGGCATTCATAATGTTTGGATATAGCGCAGCAACTTACAGCTTCTCACCTCAGTAGTTGGGCGTCACACGTGGATCAACATCCCGAAGCGGCCTCCGTCCACGGGGGCAAGCCGCTTCGGCCCTGTCGGCAACTCACGGTTTCGTTCCGCAGCCGCTGGCGCTCGCGAGCATGCGTCTTCGCTGCATATCATTCAAAGTGCAGAACGTCCCGCTATCAGCCAGCCATAGATCGATGTTAGGAAGCATGCAAGGGTAGAAGATCTACCTGGAATGATGAGCAAGAGTCTGGACGCTCGTTGGCGCGGTCGTGGTCGCGGCTCTTGCAGATCGCTCCCACCCGGGAGCGTGGCGCAGCATTCCCCGGCTCGACCCGAGATAAACCGCCCCCCCCCGCACGCGTATCTCCGCACTGTACATGGCTCACATCAGCCACCCTCTTCAGGCTCACAAGGTGTGCGAGGGCGGCTCCGGTGGGCTATGGCGTGCGCCATCAAGTGCTCTACGTCTTCCTTTTCATGCTGTGATGTCGGCGGCTTGCGGCGGTGCTCGCTCTGCACCTCTGGAAGCAGTGAAGCAGCTTCTGTAGAGCAGGACCACCTTCCGCCCGAAGCGGACGCAAGCGGACGGTGCTCCGCTATCAAATGCGCTTAATGCGCTTAAAACGAGGTCCCGCATGGATGCACAGACCGATCACCCCCCACACATTGCCCCAGAGATATCATCCCCGCGTGATCAGCTGACCGACCTCGCTCACTCCGGACCGGCTATCCTCCCCCCCATCCCAACGCACGCACACGCGCACGCAATCAAGCCGAGCGCGCCCACATATGCTCAGCCGACTTTCTCAGCTGGCCCCAATCTCAAGAAGGGTCCCTACTTATCTTGCTCCTATCTCCAGAGCTACGACTGCTTCGCCCTCCGTTGCTCGATCCCCTGCTCGCCCCGCTCGCTCCCACGCTACCATGACGAACGACACTCTCGCCGCCGACGGCAAGATGCAGGCCGCACGCTACTATGGGCGCGGCGACATTCGTGTCGAGCGCGTGCCCGTCCCCCAGGTCAAGCCCGGCACCGTTGCCATCGACGTCGCTTACTGCGGTATCTGCGGCAGTGACCTGCACGAGGTGAGTGGCCCCGCAATGCTTACCGTTTGACTTCGAGCCGCGGGGATTCACCGATCCGCATTCGTCGTACTAACGTTCAGTACCTCGATGGCCCCATCTTCTGCCCGATTCACCGTCACCCCTGGTCGAAGGAGCAGATCCCGGTTACGATGGGACACGAGTTCTCCGGCCGCGTCGCCGAGGTCGGCGAGGGTGTGACGGATCTCGCGGTCGGTGACAATGTCTGCGTCGAGCCGTACATTCTCGACCCGGCGGTCGACACGTCGCCCGCGAACAACACCTACCACCTCTCGAAGGGAATGGGTTTCATTGGTCTTTCGGGCGGCGGCGGCGGTCTCAGCGAGCGCATCGTCGTGCCGCGGCGTTGGGTCCACCCCGTCGGCGACATCAAGCTGAACGAGGCTGCTCTCATCGAGCCCCTATGCGTTGCGCACCACGCCTTCCGCCGCTCGGGCGCTCAACCGGGTGACACTGCCCTCATCACTGGTGCGGGCCCCATTGGTCTCCTGACCGCCGCGATCTGCAAGGCCAAGGGCGTGCGTGCCGTTATGTCTGAGCCGTCAGAGCTGCGCCGGAAGAAGGCTCTCGAGACTGGCGTCGCCGAGGCGGTCTTCGACCCGCGTCAGGTCGACGTCGCGGCCGAGCTGCAGAAGACCGGAGGCGCCGACGTCGGATTCGAGTGCACGTCCGTCCAGGTCGCGTTTGACACGCTCGTCGACGCGCTGAAGCCGGCCGGCACCATCGTCATCGTGTCCATTTGGGGACACAAGGCGCAGCTCGACATGCAGAAGATTGTCCTCAAGGAGCTCTCCCTCAAGGGCACCATCGCTTATGCCAACGACCACCCCGAGGTCATTCGTCTCGTCCAGGAGGGCAAGATCGACCTCAAGCCGTTCATCACCAAGGTCATTGGCCTGAACGAGCTCGTCACCGACGGCTTTGACACGCTCATCAACCGTAATGACACAGCTGTCAAGATTCTCGTCGACCCTAGGAAGTAAAAACGTCAGAAGTTCATGTACAAGTAGGTTAGTTTCGGGTTTGGGTCTATGCAAGGTCATGACACATGGGTGAAGGTGCATTATTGCGTGTTGCATTGTTCCTATGTCCGTTCATCAATGTACGGATTCACTTACGATTATAACATCCTAACGCTCAGTAGACCGCGGCGACACCGTGCTTCCTGCTGTCCGAAGCCGCGTACAGCTCGCCCTTCTTGTTGACGAGAATGCCTTGCACCTGACCCTGGGGCGCGTTGATGTCGTACTCGCCAATGATCTCGCCACGCCTGAGGAGGCCGTAGATGACCTCGGGGTCCGCGGCGTCCTTGCCAGTGCCGACCTCGACGGAGGTAATGTTGGGGCTGAGCTGGTTGTGCCAGCGCACGCGCTCGATGGCGGCGGAGATGTCGTCACCGCACTCGGCGTTCAGGATGACCTGCGCAACAGAGGGGAAGATGCGGCTTCCGCCCGATCCGCCAACAACGGCGTACACGCTCTTGCCACCAGGCGCCTCAACGATGGAGGGTGCGGTCGACGAGAGAGGGCGCTTGCCGGGCTGAGGGAAGTTAACAGCCATAGGCGGGAGGCCGAACGCGTCGCTCTCGCCGGGCACGGCGAAGTCGTCCATCTCGTCGTTCAGGAAGATGCCCCACTCGGGGGTGGCGAGGTGCGCACCGAAGAGCAGGTTGACCGTGGTAGTGATCGAGGCAGAGTATCCGTCCTCGTCGAGGGTCGCGATGTGCGTCGTGCCGTGGTCCGGCGCGTCGTACTTGTTCAGACCGTAGTAGCTCGCGTCGTGGACCTGGTAGGTGATCTTGTCGCGTTGCTCCTTCGCCCACTCCTTCGAGTAGAACTTGGGGAACTCGGAGGCGTTGGCGTTGAAGGCGGGGTCGGAAACGCCCGAGCGCGCACCAAAAGCGAACTTCATGGCCTCGAGACGGTTGTGGATGTCCTCCTCCTTCCAGCACTTCTCGCGACCGGGGAAGAGCGGCTCGTAAATGTTCAGCATACCGAGCATGACGAGGCCGCTGCTGGGCGCGTCCATGGTATGCACCGTCTTGCCGCGGAAGGTGGAGCTGATCGCCTTCTTCTGACGCACGGTGTAGTTCTTCAGATCCTCGTGCGTCAGGATGCCTCCAGCCTCGTGCACGGCGTTGATGATGTCGTCGGCAATCGAGCCCTCGTAGAAAGCGCCAGGACCCTCCTTCGCGATCTTCATGAGCGCATTGCCGTACTTCTCACGCTTGATCGTGTCGCCCTCAACAGCCATCTTGCCGTTCACGAAGTAGATGTCGCGGAAGCGGGGCGAGTCCGTAATCCACGCGCTCTTGTTCAGGCGTCCCGCGAGCTCAGCAGAGACCTGCCAACCGTTCAGTCCAATCTGAGCGACAGGCTCGACAAGCTCATTCCAAGGCAGAGAGCCGCCGAGCTTGTGAGCTGCCTCGAGTCCACGCAGCTCTCCAGGCACACCGACGGCGAGACCGCCGATCTGGGACCCATTTCGGCCGGTATCCTTGTACATCGTCTCGTTGGCCGCGGCGGGCGCCGTCTCGCGGAAGTCGATGGACGTGACCTGCGCCTTGTGCTTCGCCTTCTGACCCGGCACGCGGACGACCATGAAGCCGCCGCCGCCGATACCGGAGCTGAACGCGTTCAGCATGCCGATGCACAGCGTCGTGCTGATAGCGGCGTCGATCGCGTTGCCGCCCTTGTCCTTCATGATCGAGACGCCGAGCTCGGAGCACGTCTTCTCCTCGCTCGCGACGCCGGACTTGCCAGGTCCAAGCAGATAGCCGGGAATTCGCGTCTTGTTGCTGGGCTGCGACGTCAGCGGCGCTCTGATAGCCGGGGCGGGGAATGTGGGTTACATACCGCTGGCAGACCGAGGGCGGGGATACCGATCATCGGCTCAGCCATCACCTGGTAAGGCGACGTGCCGTTGCCTTGGGGCTCGCCATCACCGTCACCGTGGCCGTGGCCGTGACCATGTCCGTGGTCATGGTCGTTGTGGTGGTCCTTGTCGTGCCCATATCCGTGGCCGTCCCCCTTGCCGGGCTTGTCGTTGTCGTTATCGTTACCCCAGTTGTTACGCGGGTCGAAGGGGGTCGCAAGCGCGGTCGCGGCGAGGAAGAGCGCCCACAGCCGAGTCATTATGCAGGATCAGCGTTAGCGCGAGGAATGGAGGAATGAGTACGGCTGCAGTTGCTCCACAAGCTTATAAGTTGATGCCAAGAGCGGCTCGCTCGGTCACCGCCGGTCGTCATGCACCCCAGAAATAACAGAGCTAAGCATGGTATCCATGTTCCGGTTCGTTTGGCGCGCACCTGAACTATGATAGCTTAGCTCTGATAGCTCGCCTGAGCCGGAGTCGCTAGGCTGCATCTCATGTGATACATGAGCGATCGGTGGAGCGCCGGCTCGCCGGAGCCGCTGTCGCTTGCTACAATTCGCTGGAGCTCGCACGTCTATCAGCAGCCGCATGGTGCCATATGGCCCCAGCCCGTGATACCTGCTGCCCACTCATATGATGATGTCTCACAGATATCCTGCACAGACTGCTGTAAGCGCCGTCCGTAGGTGGGCATCGGCATTGCGATGGATATACGCAGCGCCGAGCCAGGAAATCACACGTTTTGGCCTGCGGAACTGCCTTATAGGGCTATGTTCTGCAGGGAGCGTGTGATCTAGTGTCAATTAGCTTCAGAGTTGGAACATGTGCAGAAGTGTGCAGAAGCAAGGGAGTTCGACATTCCAGGCAATCACCGTGAACACAGCATCCGTTATGTTCGGCGGTGGGGTCTCCACAAACGAACTCGATACGGTCGTGATCATGCGACCTCGGCGGTGAGATCATCGATGGGATCAATGATCAGGCGACCCTGTAGAAGGCCGAGACAAGGCTTCGGAATCTCCAACGTGAACTCTGATCCTGCCCACCAATTCCCACGCTCGGATCGACGAGTGCTGATGTTTGCGTGCACCGAGCTGACGGGTCACCTGGTCTACCGTTGATGCTCCCGGCTTCGGCATCAGGTCATGCCAGAGACAAGTGAGCACTCAAGCGAGGAAGTTTCCCACTCAATCCGGTGCCGGCCTGCGATCGGAGCTGGAGAGAGCATGAGAGCAGGTTTGGTTATGAGAGCCGGGCGTGCATGACGAAGTCAGGCATCCTCTAAAGTATGGACATGAATGAAGACGCTGAGGAGGCTGTGGTGGTACAAATCGGGTCACCAAAGTGAATGCGCGAACTCACCGATCGTCACCAGCCTCTTCCCGCAGGGAGCAAGCGATTTCTTGTAGAGTCTTAGCGCACATTCTCTAAGACGGCCTATGCTACAGATGAGCAAAGTTGCTGCTTTGTGGTGCTTTCGGGAGATGACGATCTGTACCCGGTTACTGGCGTGGTTCTTCGACCACTAAAGCCCAAGTGGCAGCGCTGGGATGGGCACGCGCCCAGTGGACCTTCACTTGATCACGTCATCTCCACCATCACCACCTCACCGCATCCCCTGTCTGCCCGTTGCATCTGCTCAGTTCTGGTGCCCAAACGACAGGCAACAAGTCCTCTCGACTTCGCGTGAAGATCGCACGATATGCCAAGAGATCGTGAGGAGAGCGCTTACTTCAACGCATTTGAAGTCTAGATGTCAGTCAGCTCTATCTTGAATGGACCGGTCGCCTGCTCGGAACTTATGATAGCGAGGACGATGCTTAGGGTAGCGTGTCGTGTACAGATCTAGGATGCAGTGTGATGAACCCGTTACATCGCCCTGACCGGACAAGCTCGTAAGCTTGGCCACGATCCGGGGTTGTTAGGAACTGGCCGGGATGTGCGAGGTACTCCGGTATGTCGGACAACATGCAAGATCGTCTCACGATCTACGAGTATGCAAAAGGCGCCGGTGGATGGCCCGCTGCCCATCAGCGACTTTAGCAATGGTCAGCGCGGCGTCCAAGACGAAGTTCAACGCCAAGAGGGCACCTTCGTCATTGCAGCTTAGGACCCAGAGGTGCCATGGTGCCCGTTGCCACCAACTTGTCTCGGCCCGCCGGTACTGTCCTGGTAAAGTCGTGCAACATTCGATGATCGAGACTGAGCGTTCGAGGCCCGGGTCCACCGGCAAAGCGGGCACCCTACCTGCTTACCTACCTACCTCATCTTCCGCGGTACACACACCCCCACCTGGGTGTGCCGGAGATCTGCAGAGCTCCGGGAAGCCCACAGAGCAGACGCCGTGGCGACTGCGGTCCCCTATCCGAGACTGCTGACTCGGGCTGCGCAGGGTTGTAGTAATGTTCGGGACTGTGTGGTGACTACCCCCCATCTAGCTGACATCGACGCACACACCCTGGCGTTGCTCTGCAGAAGTTGGCAGGGTGAATGAGAAATGCGCCGAGAGATCTGGAACTCTTGGCGGATGTTCCGAGTACTCATCGCGCTCGTGCGCGGCGATGATCAGTAATCGCTCGCCGAAAGTGGGGAAATCTGCAATCATGGCGGGGACCAAGTGCGTAATCAGCCGCCGGTGTCAGAGATTATCAATTTTCCACGCTATCACGGGGAACGGCGGCCTTGCGCCGGCGCGGCGCCGCGCCGTCTGGTACCAACTTTGGATTGGCGCGGGGGATCATCGGCGCCGCGCCTGTCAGGCTGGCTTCGGCGACGTCAGATCGCGCAGTGGCTCACCTCAGCCAGTGTGCTGTCGATGCCAGTTGCCCCGCGCTCCGGAGGGTCTGGACATCTCACCTCGGACGACCTTTGCCTCCCACAGGCACGGAGCGGCGAGCCTGACACGGCGGCCATCACCAATCATTATCTCGTAGGTGTGTCCGACCCTGTGTGAACCCTGGCCCCGTGTCGTCGGCTTCCGAACAGCTCGGAGATATGACAGATTCCAATGTCAAACCCTTTCGATAACACAATCAGCATGACAGATAGCATGTCAGATTTGAGAAACCCCACCTCCGCAGTTTCAGTGTTGCGGTCTGCTCATGACGTTTCATGGCAACGCTATGATGGCCAGTCGGTCGGAATGGATTCGAGAGCAGCCGGCTGTTGTAGGGCGGTAGACAGCCGCGTCTGCACCGAGGGTTTGCCAGGGAGAGCTCGCAAAGGTATACATCTCCTAGCCGGAGCGCATTTGAGAGGGACCGACAGCTGGAGCACATCCTGCTCTTCGGACGATCTTCCGCTCAAGCTTCCGAACCTTGGCGGGGTACCCTCCGCCCGTGCGCTGCTGGCGAACTGACCTGGGAAGAGCGCCGCTACAAGCTGCCAGCGCCACAATCCTCAGCAGCCTCCCCCTGGTACCTCGCAACTCGCAGCCACCTCTAAGCCACTCCGCCTTCCGACGGCGCCCATGGCGTATTGCCCAAACTACGGCAAGAGCGCACAGCGGCGGCCGCGCAGAGTTGTGGGAAGAGGTTCTTCACGGCGCAGATCTTTTCTGTTCTGAACAAAGAGTTGCAGAGTCAGGGCACGAAAGCCAAGCGAAGGGGCGATTAGGAGGGCGCTCTCAGGATTGCTAGCTATCCGGTATGAGCGTTCGCCCTCTCAGAGGTCTGACGTCTAACAGAGCGAGAGCGGAAACCCCGAGCCAGATGCCAGGCAGGCCAGTGACCGCGGAGCGATCGCATATCGCGGAGAAGCAGCGGCTGTGAGGCATCGATTATGACCATCGGAGTCTCGAACGCAGAACTGCCGAGGCTCGATGTCACCATCACTGCGTCGTTCTCTTCGACGTTATGCCTTGGGACGGCTGAGCGATACCTGAGAGCTGCTTAACGCCATACCGCCCTGGCTCAGGCATTCGCTCGCAGACCCGCCCGTAGCACACGGCAGCCGTAGTTGCCGTTCTCGCCTCCAAGCATGACATCGGCCACAACACTGCGTACGGCCGCCCGATATGCAACACGCCAGAAAATAGGTATCCCAGGGCAACGGTGTGCCGCAGGGCCTACGAACCTCCGCCCCTGGAAGCTTGGCCCTGCCGCCCCCCGCACCCAGGCTCACCGCGAACGGCTCAACTCGATCTGTCCCTCTGTCTCGAGCCCGGGCGTTGCCGCTGTGTTGTGAAGCGTTAGGCTGGGCAGGGCACTCCACGCCGCTGGATCAACGTCGCAGACGCAAGCTATCATTCCTTCTGCAACGCCACTTCTTGTCTCCTCATCATCTCTCACTTGGTCGGAGACGGCTCTACAAAAGCCCAGCATTGCCGACGACCTAAACAGCAGCCCCGCCTCACGATGGGCACCGGCCAATCGGTAGAACACCACGTCCACCGTGGTGCCTCCCAGCTGTGTGCGAGCGACAGCGAAAACCGGCAAATGCACGCTGCTCGGGCCGCCAACATCAACCTCACCCAGGTCCCCTTCGACTACCTCCAGGTGAGTGATTTCGTACTCGACTGCACGTACCGGCGGCATCGCAGATCGCGTGCAGTCCCGTTCGATTCCTTCTGCCATCATGACCGAACTGTAATGCGGGGGATCGCCGAAGACGCAGGGAAGATCGACGGTTTTCGTTAAGCGAGGTGCCCGGCTTCCCTACCATCATCACTTCAGCAATGCGTGGCTAACGTCACCCAGTTCTACCCATATCCCGCACTCGTTCTGATCCATGAAGTCGACAGCGAAGACGGCGCACCGGCGCCGCCGATCGATGACCTCGAGCCGCTGACAGCACTGTGGACCAATACTGCATGGAAGCGACACGCGGGGACCCGATCACTGGCTGAGACACTGTCTGCTGAAGATCTTGTGCGCCTGGACCACTGGCTCAGCCGCCGTACTCCCTCAGAACCAGATGAGCTTTCAACTCCCGTCGACAAGGCGCGCACGACAGGCACACTCGACGGCAACCCTCACGGCATTGTCAACGGCTACCTCGACGAGCACCTTCAGAAACTCTCTCTGGAGCGCACGAAGCGCGGCGGAGACGCTCCCGACCTCTGCCGAAGTCCTGAGCCGATCTCGGACCCACCGCCGGAAGATGCGCCACTCATTGTCCAGTGCAGCCTCGGCCTCCCTATGGCGCTCGCAAAGACCATGTTCCCAGTAACTGTTTGTCCGCCCCACCAGTTGCGGCGCCCGGTGCCCCAGTATGCGCTGTACATCGTCACGAGCATGCCGCTCCAGCCCTCATGCACAGCCTCTAGTGAGTGTCAATGTTCAGCGTGAGCCAAAGATCAATGACGCCTTCGTTGTCACAATCCGAACGGGCCAGCATAAAACTGACAGCCCCTCAGCCTCGATACCCACCTCCGTTCAATTGACAGAACCGAAGCGGTCGAGTTCGGTCGTGTCGTCCGCCGATGGGCACTGCTCGCCCTCGACGCCCGGGACGTCAGTATACTCGCGGGACGAGAATGACGTCCGGCATCTCCTCGAGACGTATGACTGGAGCACGACCGGCCTTGGGCCCAAGAAGAATTGGCCATGGGTGCTCAACCTCCTCACGTCATTTGCGATGTGCAGCCCGCTGTCGATCTCAATGTGGTGGGGCAACAAGGATCTGACGCTCATCTACAACAAGCCGTATTCAGAGGTGAGTTCAGACTATCTGCGGCAGCTGACGTTCAGAAACTGACGATGCACCCGCAAGCGTTCGGAAAACCAGGCCCGCAGACCTGGGCGAAGCTGTGGCCCTCGCTGCCGCCGCTCCGCGAGGCGATCGCCGGCGAGCCGTTCATCATCCGGGACAACTTTGAGCTAGCCGACCACAATGGACAAAAGCGCGAGTGGTACTGCACGCATACGTTCCTGCCTCTCGCTCTCGATGACGGCGCGGACGTCCTTGGGTTCCATCAGGTGGAAGACACGACGGCGCGTGTGATCAGCGCTCGGCGCGCCGAGATCATTCGCTCGCTGAGCGGGTGTGGCGCCGCGCGCACGATGGAGGAGTTTGACTCACTCACGCTCGGCATCTTGAAGGAGTTCCCTAAGGACCTGCCGTTTATGATTTGCTACGAGGTCAACGAATGGGGTCACGACAGCTCATCAACTGTCGACGACGGTCGCAGGGTACGCATGAAGTATCGGGGCTCGATCGGTGTGCCGAAGGGGCACGCGTCAGCACCGAGCCTTGTCGAGCTCACCATGCCGCCCAAGCTGCCAGAGAACGTCGCGAGCGACGCGTTCCACGCGCCTCGGCTGAAGCGCAATCGACACGGCAGCTTTGACACGCCGACGCCGGTCGGACGCGTGTCGGTGCCAACCACACCGCTGGGCGAAGAGGAGACGCCCGACTTGATGCCGTGGCCGTTCCGAGAGGCGCTGGAGTCTGGTCACCCCGTGATCGTGCCGGATTGCAGTGAGGTGATCCGCGGCTACTCGGTGCGGGTGTGGGAGTCACTGCCACGAAGCGCGATTGTGGTTCCGCTGAAGCGGGACGCGCCAGAGCGCATGAGCAAGGGTCTCATGGTGATCGGGCTCAGCACTCATCTGCGCTACGACAAGGACTACGAGCAGTTCATCGAAGACTTCCGACAGCAAATCTCCGCATACTACGCCAGTTCACTCGCGCACTCGGCCGAGACGAACCGGCGAATGGAGCTGGCCGCAATCGACCGCGCCAAGAATCTCTTCTTCTCGAGCGTGTCGCACGAGCTCTTCACCCCGTTGTCGCTCATCTCGGGCCCGATTGACGACGCGCTCGCCGACCCTGGCATGCCGCGCGGCCGTCTCCGCGACAACCTTGAGATTAGCAAGCGCAACGTGCGCCGACTGTCGCGCCTCGTCTCCATGCTCATGGACATGAGCAACCTGGAAGCAAAGCAGACGCGTGGCCTGATTGCTTTCCACCAGGTCAACCTGGGCGAGCTCGTCAAGAACGTGGCAAGCATGTTCCAAAAGGCAGCCGCTCAAGCCGAGATCACGCTAGATCTAAGCGACATCGACCAGACGCCCCGCGTCACGTATGTCGACAGGGACCGGTTTGAGCGCATTCTGTTTACACTGATCGGAAACGCTCTCCGCTTCACGCTCGAAGGATGGGTGCGCATCTCCCTGCGGTATGAGGGTGGTCGGGCTCTGCTCGCCGTCGAGGATACCGGCGTTGGCATTCCACGCAAGGACATTGAGATCCTCGGTCTGCCTTTCTGGGGCGACATCGGCAAGAAGTCCAACGCGCACGAAGGATCCGGACCCGCGCTTCTCTACGCCAAGAAGCTTGTGCAACTCCACTGCGGCACGATCAGCATTGACAGTCGTACGGCCGCGGAGTCGCCCGATGGTAGTCACGGCTCATGCTTCACTGTCACCTTGCCACTGGGCTTCCAGCACCTGCCGTCTGAGAGCGTTATGGTCGCGCGCCCCTCAGACGGAACAGCGCTCAAGGAATTCCACCTCAGCGTGCTGGAGGACATCAGCGTGAGCCACTGGGGCTGGGTCGGGAGCACGAGCGGCGGCGCCCGCCCCAGCAAGCCGAGCAGCGAAGGCTTCCCCATCGTGGCGGGTATCAACCCCGACAAGCTCTTCTTCCAGCCTGACGACGTAGTGCTCATTGTCGACGACCTGCTCGACACGCGCAAGTACATCCGGCACATCTTCGAGCCGTTCTGCACCACTCTCGAAGCACGCGATGGCGTCGAGGCGCTGGAGAAGGTGCGCGAGCGCGTGCCCGACCTCATCATCGCAGACACGATGCTCCCACGCATGGACGGCGTGCAGCTGCTTCACGCGCTCCGGACAGGCCAGGACCACAGGGAGAAGCTCGTCCCCGTGATTTTGCTCACGAGCCAAGGTAGTGCACTGTCCGACGGCGCGTTCGGCGCAGACGACTACATCTCAAAGCCGTTTAACGCTCGCGAGCTCATTGCTCGAGCGCACATGCAGCTCCAACTCGGCAAGAAGCGCCAGATGCTCGAGGTGGCATACCACCAGCGCACGTCCGAGCTCCAAGTCCTGACGGACAACATGCCCGTCGGCATCTTCCGGACGAACGATGAGGGTGTGATCAACTACGCGAACCAGATGTGGTACGAGATCACGGGCTATCCTGCCGCGACACCAATCACGAACTGGGGCGATTATGTCGCCGACGAGCACCGCGAGCATATTGGAAAGCTCTGGGGCAAGTACGTCGCAGACGTGCAGCAGGAGACGGTCCAAGGCGAGTTTCAGTGGAAGACTGGCCGATGGGTATCCTGCCTCTGCATGCGCCTCAAGCCCATCAGCGGCGTGAGGCCCGGCATCATCGGCTGCATCATGGATATCACGGACCGGAAGTTGTCCGAGGAGCTGCAACAACAGCGCGTTGTGGAGGCGGAGACGCGCCGCGCGGAAGCCGAAGAAGCGAAGCGGCTGCAGGAGGAGCTTATTGACATCACGTCGCACGAGATCCGCAACCCGATCAGCAGCATCATGGGACTCGCAGCCATTTTAAGAGAAAACCTCTGCAGGTTCCGTCGCACCGTCCAAGTGGCACTCGACGCCGGCACCACAGTCGTGCCCACCGCCGAAATGCTGGCAACGATGGACGAGGACATGGAAGCTCTGGACAACATCCATGCCTGCGGCCTCACGCAGGAACGTATTAGCAACGACGTGCTGTCTTTGGGCAAGCTGAGTCTCGACAAACTGGCAATGTTCGACGTCGCGACCGACGTGCGTGCCGAGGTCTCCAAGCTCGTCAGCGTGTTTCACAACGAAGCGGCTATGGCCCGCGTTGAGCTGAACTTGGGCTGCTCGCCGAATCTCTCGGCTGCTGGCGGTCGGCTGCTACTAGATCCCGTGCGGTTTGGGCAGGTAGTGACGAATCTGCTGAGCAACGCGATAAGGTTTACGAGCACGAGTCGTGAGTATTGGCGGGCCGGTGGGTCGAACAAGCTGACAGATAGCAGGGGAGCGGCGCGTCAGCGTCTACTTCGACGTCGGCTTGAGCCCTCCAGGGGCTGGGTCTTGCGTGAATCCTTGCACGAAGCCGATCACCTCTCCCTTGCCGGCGGGCACGACGGTGTATCTCTACGGCAGCGTGGCCGACACGGGGCCCGGAATGACAGCGGCCGAGAAGGAGAGCCTGTTCCAGCGCTTCAGCCAAGCGAGCGCGAAGACGCACACTGTCTTCGGCGGTAGCGGGCTCGGTCTCTTTGTGTGCCGCAAGATAACACGCAGGATGGACGGTGACATCGACGTCGTCTCTGAAACTGGGCAAGGTTCGAAGTTTCAGTTCTACGTCGCGGCGCGCACACCGCCGGGAACGCCTGATCCCCCTTCCCCTCCCCCGCCGCCTCCAGGTGCGCTGCACGCGCGCGTCCTTGTCGTCGAGGACAACATCATCAACCGCACCGTCGTCTTACGACAGATGAAGCAGGCAGGCGTGCGTGCCGAGGCAGTCACGAACGGCCTGGAGGCGCTGGAAAGGCTGAGAGAAACGCAGAAGCCAGGCGGAGATCGCTTCGACTGCGTCCTGATGGACCTTGAGATGCCCGTCATGGACGGGTATACGGCGACAAAGCGACTGAGGGCAGAAGAACAAGCGGGAAGACTGGAGAGGAGCAGAGTCGTCGCCCTTACTGGTAACGCGCGCCAGGCGATGATCCAGGAGCAGATGAGGGATTTCGACGACGTCGCTGTCAAGCCGTATCGGCTCGACGCGCTGCTGGGAAAGATCGCAGCTACCACGAACGCCAATGGAGAGACGAAGAAGAGAGCGAACGGGAATGAGGCATGGCGAAGCCGCAAAATATCCGACTGAACATATCAACGACTACCACCCTTGTTGCCACACCACATCTGTAACCACCACGCGCCATTGGCGCGATTCATAGCTCATCTTCTTCCTATCAGACTGCTTTATTTTGGGTATCTCGTTCTCTAGGCATGTATTGTACTTTTTGTGTACGGGCAGCATTGATGAGGTACCGACCAAGTCGCCTGGCGAAGGAGGGCACTGTGCGGCCAGCAGCGGCGTCGCGTTGTTCTGGGCCCGTTGGACTCACGACAGGATAGCTCAACTGGGACCAGGCCGAGCCACGATGTCCACGGCGCACAGTCAGTCCGCACCTTATGTAAGTCCAACTAGACCCGCTGCTCGACCATGAACTCGTTGAGCAGACTGTTCACGTGAGCATCGGCACCCTCAGCTCCGAAGCCGATCTCAGCACGTGGTGAACCCTGAAGAGTCGCAACATGCCAGAATCCAAAGTTGGAGCAAAGATCAGCGACGATCCACGGGTCCGTGGTTCTGTTCGGACGATCACAGCTTCCATTTCGGGGATACGCTGAGCACACTCACCTTCATAGCCCGAGATACGTGATCGAAGTGCTATCTCTGGATCCCAGGAGGGCAGGGGGACGGAGGCTCCGACGTGCGAACCCAAGCAGCCGAGAGGTGGTGGAGGCAGCTCCGCCTGCCCCGCCTACCCTTGTACCTCGCATTCTCGTCTTTGCGGCAATGGAACAATCGGCGTCTGGGGCCGGCAGTCACAAGGGTACCACAGGGGTGCGTGGCTTGTGTGCCCCGCGCGTTCTGTCTCGCGTATGACGGGCAGAAACTGGAGCAATACAGAGCAGCACCAATTGACGCGTCGGGAGGGTGTCTCTCCCCAGATTGTCAGGGATGTCCGGGGCCGAGGGGTCCGGAGCCGCAAACAGCGGTATCCTACCTGACACAGGCTCGGTCTTCACCTGGGCACACCTGGGCCTGGTTGATGCCTGAGCTGGATGGTCTATGCTGTGCGCTGCACGCTGAAGAGCCTGCAAGAACGAGGGGAGGTCACGGACTACTGAACTCGCTCACCACCACCAGCCGCATCGTGACAGCCGTAGTCACGTAGGAAACTGGCTATGTTAAGATGCAGGAAGCAGCGTCGACCTGCCGCGTTAATCAGTGTAGAGCGCAGAAGGCGAGCGCAGGACGAGGGCAGCAAGCTTCTTCTCGCGTTAGCTGGCGAACACTGACGCCCAGAGGCATGCTTCGAAATGTTCCGTGTCGCTTCGGCGATCTGGCCAGAATACGGCGAGCAGACGTCCGCATGGAAATCAGCCAGAAGCCAGCAATGGGGGCACCCCTGTGATCGAGCACATGGACGACAGGTATATAAGAGTGAGGGGGGTGACGATCCGCGCTCGTCCGCGTCCGTCCGCGCGAAAGAGCGCACCAAGCGCCGCCCAGGGGGGGTGGTAACCGATGCAACCGTGGTAGTGGAGGTGGGCTGAAGCTTGGCGGTGACATGCAAAGTGGGGTGACAGACGGGAGAGTGGAAGAGAGGCGTCCGAAGTCCGGGGCCAAGCGTGGCGAGATGGTTAATGAGGTAATGCCTCTGGGCTAATTGGTAGTTTCTCTCGCGTAATGACCAGGTCACGTAACCTGAGATGAGGTGAGACCCCACGGGGTCCGGGTACGAGACCCCCGCAAGCTCATTCGCAGCCCAAGATCCGAGCATCCGAATCTCTGTGCCTGCATCACACCGGGGCCGATTGGTTATGATCCATGTCCTGCCCTTCTGCCCGCGCATTCTCTACGCAGGTGACTCCAGTTCGCACAACTGTGTTCGCACTGGTTAAAAGGACCACAGTTACCAGTCTTCTTCCCCCATCCACAGGACCTCGCCACAATGACCACCTCTGTGCACCAGGACCTCAGCACACGGCTCGACCAGCTCAAGTCGCTGCCCGCCGGCTTCTGGCTCGCCGCCGCCCTCGTCGCGTTCTCCGCCTACTACCTCTACCCGTACTTTGTCACGTACGCCGCTCTGCGCGACATTCCCGCGCCCTTCCCGGCCCAGTTCTCAGACTGGTGGCTCTTCCGTGTCGTTAAGCGCGGCAACCGCTCCGTCACCGTTGACAAGCTCCACCAGAAGCTGGGCAAGTTTGTCCGCCTCCAGCCCAACCACGTCTCGATCGCCGACGACTCGGCCATCAAGGCCATCTACGGCCACGGCAACGGTTTCCTCAAGTCGAGCTTCTACGATGCCTTTGTCTCGATCCGTCGTGGTCTCTTCAACACCCGCGACCGCGCCGAGCACACGCGCAAGCGCAAGGTCGTCTCGCACACCTTCTCGGTCAAGTCTGTCCGCGAGTTCGAGCCGTACATGCACGACAACCTGAACCTGTTCGTGAAGCAGTGGGACAAGCTCGTCGACAACGCGAAGAAGGAGGGCTCGAACGGTGGAAAGGCGCGTTTCGACTGCCTTGATTGGTTCAACTACCTCGCCTTTGACATGATTGGCGACCTCGCCTTCGGAAGCCCCTTCGGCATGCTGGCGGCTGGCGCTGACGTCGCCGAGCTTCGCTCCACCCCCGACGCCCCAGCCGAGTACGCCCCCGCCATCGAGATCCTGAACCGCCGTGGCGAGATCTCGGCCACTCTCGGTATCGTCCCCAAGCTCATCCCCTACGCCAAGTACATCCCCGACCCCTTCTTCTCAAAAGGTGTTGAGGCCGTTGCCAACCTTGCCAAGATTGCCATTGCTCAGGTCCGTGGCCGGCTCGAGAACCCGCCCGCCGACGCCCGTACCGACCTCCTCGCCCGTCTCCAGGAGGGCCGTGACGACAAGGGCAAGCCTATTGGCCGCGAGGAGCTCACTGCCGAGGCTCTCACTCAGCTGATTGCCGGATCTGACACTACTTCGAACTCGTCGTGCGCCCTCCTCTACTGGGTCACCAAGACCCCCGGTGTTCTGGAGAAGCTCCAGGCCGAGCTCGACGAGGCCATTCCTCCCGGAACCGACGTCCCCACCTACGACATGATCAAGGGACTGCCTTACCTCGAGGCTGTCTTCAACGAGACGCTCCGTCACCAGTCTACCTCGGGTATGGGCCTCCCTCGTGAGATTCCCTCCGACTCACCCGGTGTCACCATCTGCGGCCGCTACTTCCCTCCTGGCACGATTCTTTCGGTCCCTACGTTCACTATTCACCACTCTAAGGAGATCTGGGGCCCCGACGCGCTTGAGTTCAAGCCTGAGCGTTGGTTCAACGTCACTCAGCGTCAGAAGGACGCCTTCATTCCCTTCTCTCACGGACCTCGTTCTTGCGTCGGAAGGAACGTCGCAGAGATGGAAATGAAGCTTATTGCTGCGACCTGGATGTACCGTTACAAGCCTACGCTTCTCCAGGACAAGCTGGAGGTTGCGGAGGGATTCCTGCGTAAGCCGCTTGGACTGGAGATCACCATCGACCGCCGCCACTAGGCTGCCTGTGGCACCTGTGGCACCCCTCCCCCCTCATTCGCATTGCATCTAGCCCCCCTATCCATTGCCTAGTGATTCCCTTGGTTCATTTCTGAGTGAAGTCTGAAGAATGCCCCGATAAATCAAAATGGAACGAAGACAGCCTGTAAAATGTCTTTGAAATGTATATTGTTCTGTCACGCCGTCGCATTAGCATTTTTCACAACTCGCTACATCGTTTACTAATCAAAACCAGATGCATTTCTAATGGGAAACGGAAATCAGGTTTAATAATTAAATATATAATAATAATTCATTTGGTATGTGGATATCGAAAATTCATAATACCTTGAGGTGGCGTTGCCACGTGGCACCTGCCGTTCATCAATCATTCATTAGTGTCTTCCTTTCGAAAAGCTAATGGACACTGGCCATAGAATAGCAATACGGTCTATTGTGTTTATTGTGACCTTTGCTTAGACAAGATGGCAAACTGTACGCCGACGCCGAGGCTACGAAGTCCGCTTTAGAGCGTGGGAAGCGGGGATCTGCTTATTGAGGTACCGAGCCAGTGATCGTCGGTTCTGCGCGATGCGGTGCGGCGCGATGCGGTGGCCAAGTGAATGCGCAGAAGCTTGTTTCCATCATCTGATCAAACGACCATATAGGCGCAGTCAAAGAACTGGGGCACCAAGATAAGATCCGGATCCGCAGGCCCCGTGCACGATACCGCTTCCGTGGGATGTCCGGATAACGGTCCACTGACGCGGGGGCAGATGCGGATCGCGCGCTGACCCCTGGCCCCTGGGTCTGGCAGGACCTGACCACTGACGACCTCGCGCGCAACGTCATCTGCACAGACTCGATCGATTATTCACAACAACAACAAACTTTACCAACTTTGTCAGTCATGGACATCGCCCTCGTCCAGGACTTGAGCGACCTCGCGCCGCGTCTCCAGGACGGCCACAACAATGAGGCCGGCCTCAAGGAGGCGACGGACCTCCTGTCCAAGATTGATGCGAGGCTCAAGGAGCAGCGTGAGTGTTCACTACCCACCCATTTCCTCTTCCTCCATGCAGCCTCAGCCTCCCTATCCTCGAGCTGAGTAAAACGTAACGTTGTGATAGCAGCTTACTTGCAGCACAACTCGTCACCCGGCTCGGCGCGACGCCGCTCCCGGCGATCCTCGCCCGCCTCCTCCGTGCTCGCCCTCACCCGCAAGACGCCGATGAGAGCACGCTCGACGCCTTCTTCCCCATGATCCGCATGAACGCGCTTGTCGCCTCGCGCTTGTCCCTCGACAATCCCTCGAACGTCACGAAGCTGAACGATGCACACTGGCCCAAGATCGCGCTCGGCATCATCACCAACGCTAAGCACCTGCCTGAGGAGAACTGGAAGAAGGAGGTCGTGGGGATGTACTCGCCCCTGATCAGCGGTCTTGGCACGCTCATGACGAGCAAGGACGCTGATGCCATTATAGTCTCGCTGGCAACGGAGGAGAACTACAAGGACCTCCTCAAGCTCGCCTCTACGGCATACACGCCAGGCGACTGGATGCCCGATGCCGACTACGCTAGGGTGCGCGGTACGATTGTGGGATGCCTGTGGGAGATCCTCTGCGCTCTGTCAAAGCACCCCGACTTCAGCCTGAGCCCGGGTATGATCGAGGAGATGCTTCCCGAGCTCAAGTTCTGGACGACGACCTCCGACTATCCCGCGCCGGGTAATCTGAAGGAGCTCACGAAGGAGCAGCGCCTGCAGAACCTGCTTCCCGAGATCACGATTCTGCACTCGGTCTCGCGCGTGCTGTACAACTTCACGGTGCACGGCAAGGTGGACTGGACCGGGCTCGCGGGGTCCGATACCGACCTCAAGGCCATGGTCGAGTTCCTCGAGAAGCCTGGACCGCCGGCGTGGATCCCGCAAGAGGAGTGGGACCCGAGCACGAAGGAGGGTGTCGACAAGGTCGTGGCTATGGCACAGACGAATGTTGGCCAGACGCTGCTCCTGACGATCGGGCACGTGCCGGACGCTTCTGTTCCAGCGTGGCTCAAGGAGAGGACTGAGGCGTGGCTCGACGACCCGTCCATGACGCACCAGGGACTGTCAGCACTGGCGAATACGATCCACGACGGCGACGCGGCGATCAAGGTTCTGCAGCAGCGCGACCTGCTCCCTCGCCTGCTGAAGCTCATGACGCCAGAGCAGTCGGTGCAGAACCAGCACGCGCTCCTCGGTCTCCTGCGCAACCTCTCGATCCCGAAGGAGAACATCCCGAAACTCGGCAAGCCTGTCCTCGACGGCGTTGTTGCCATGAAGCCCTGGGCGCAGTCGAAGGACCAGGTCGAGCAGCTGCAGCGCAACGCGGTGCTGACCGTCTCGCACCTCGTGACGGACCCGGAGCTCTCCGCCGAGCTGCTGACGAACGAGCAGGCGCTGATCGAGCTCATGATGCTCCTTGCGCGCACGCGCAACGGTACGCTGAAGGCGCAGGTCGTTGACCTGCTCGCTACAGCCATCAATGCGCTCCCCGCCTGGCCCGAGGCGAAGAACGCATGGCGCATCCTCGGCTCCGACGACGGTATCTGGGTCTGCCTCATCCTCGGCATCGACGACGGACGGCAGGTCCCCGTCCTCCTGAAGAACTCGATGAAGGCGTTCCTGCACGGCCTAACGTGTGATGGAGGCAACAGGACGGGTGACGACGGAGAGCCAGAGGGCGTCAGGGTGCAGCTTGAGCGCGCCTTCGCTCGAAAGCTGGGCAACACCGGCGCCACGGGTGTCGACTCTGTCGCGAGGCTCATCGCGCCCCCGGACGACGTGTACAAGATTCCAGAGGAGGTGCAGAACGATGCGGTCAAGTTCGTCAAGGAGCTCGGAGATAAGAGGATGACGGACGCGGTCGAGAAGGCCGTCGCGCGGAATAAGAAGGAGGGGCGGCCGGTCGCGGCAGCGTGGAGTGCGTGAGAGTTGGTAGCGGTTGATAGAAGCGGGTGACTGATGGCCCACACGTACTTTACGACAGCATGCAGGCATGAACGAACCGAGGTGAGCTTGTGCAGCGTTATGACAATACGCCGCACAGCTTGAAGGCAGTGAAGTGGAGCCAAGCTACGGGAGCGAGAACAGCCGAGCGAGGCCTTCCCCTCTGCTGTATCAGCTTGAGGTCGACCTGCGCTGAATTATCAGCTCCGTATGAGCGTGGACGAGGAATGGCAATGAGGTGTCTGCATATCCTAGTGACGAATTCTCGCGGTCCATGGGTGATTCCAGACATCGGCAGCCATTAGCTACAATAGATCTGAACAGCCACTTCCGCCAAGTGCGAGATGGCAAAGCACCTTTTTAGGTGGACGCCAGTACTATGGGCCGTCAGTAGCAGGCCGCGCTTGAGATAGGGCAGCAATCGAACATCTGAGGATTGCAGCAACTGACAACAAGGCGGGATCCTCTACTGAGGCGACCGATGGCGGGATCGTTGTTCAACTGCCAGCCGTTGGTCGCGAACCTGGTCTTATCACTGACAGCATCGCTTGGGAGCTGGACGTTAGCCACATGTGGTGCTGTACCCCGGAATCGCTCGTGTCTCAGCGATTTCCTACATTCGACCATCTGGCAGTTAGCACCCCAGTCTTGGACCCGCGCCTCCAACATTTGGACGTTCACATGACCGTAAGAACGAGGTGTGAGACCTAGATCTGCACACATATAGCTTCCAATTCGGGCTCCTAATGTCTATGACACTTGTACGATCGTCCTCAGCTTTTTTTTTCTTATGGTAGAAGGCACGGCACTCTTCCCAAAGACATCCTTCTTCCACTTCCGGTCCTAAGAGGCCTGTATCTCGCGTGGAAAGCTTTCGGCATCGGACACGCGAGAACTGCATTCCTCGCTTGGAACCTGGAGAGAGAAGAGTGGGAACCGGCCCGTCCGAAACGCGTAAAAATGGATTGAGGATGAAAACGGTAGGGGGCCGACAGGGGCTTGATTGCACCGGGCTGTTGCGCTGACGATCTCTGCGTCCCGGGTGACATACCCCTCACCTCTCGCGCGAGACCTCACAACAAGGCCGTGGAGCAGTGGTGTGTGCCTGGAAGTGCCCGTTTCGTCTTGTTGGCTCTGAAAAGTTGGTCTTGGAGGAACGGAGGAGTACGGAGTGCAAGGAAGGGGTCGAGCGCGTCGTGCACGCTATATGCTGTGCATGTTCTCGGCTTCTCCCGAGGCATCCCAGCTCGACTGTCCGCCCACCGTTTGTACGCAGCGTTACCACCGCAGGTCACCTGCTGGGAGTCCTAAGGGTTAGAAGAGCCAAGGCAGTGCTCGCCAAGTGCTGCGATAGGACGCCCGTGCGGCGACGGAGAAGGAGCCCGCTCTCTGTACCTCTCGCTGTACGCGCCGAACCTTAACGACCCCCCGTATCCACCCAAGCTTCCTTGGCACTTACGCTCGCAACCTTGTCGCCATGGATGCAACTTTTTCAGCACCCCCGATCAAGAATCAATGCCAAAATTAGAGCAAATGCATGCATGCCTCTATGAGGACCTCGGTGGAGCACGCGGAGCAAGGTGTTACTGCTAGCTAGGCTACGACGGAAGGCAGGACGGGTGTGTCGGATGCTCGGAAGGTGGCCGGCTTCGGCACGACACGCTCTGGCTGCTCTGCACGGGCGCGTCATGGGACTAAAGATCAGCTCTAAGGCTTGGGTTCTGCGCCGAGGGAGCTGAGAGGGCAAAAATAACCTTCGCCGGATCCGCCGAGCGCGTTGAGTGTTGGGTCCTCCAATTGAATCCACGATCATCTGCATTGGGCGCTGCATGTTTCCTGCATTTCCTGTCTGTAGCGTGACCTCAGCCAAGGCGAGGAAGGCGCCGAGAGGGAGAGAATAAACACTGCCCAGGAATAGCCAGGGAAAGCATCCAGGCAAACACCCCAAACAGCGCCATCGCCCCCGTCCAGTTGCACCCGGCGCACCCGGTGCTCGTGCCGGCGTGTCCGCTGGGGGGTCACCGTTCCATGCCCAAACACGGCGAGCAAACCAGGGTCCCCCCGCCCAATGCGGCAAGAAGCCATTCCAAGGTCTGTCAGAACGCGAAACACAGCCCTGAGCTAGAGCCTCACGGCCCGGGTTCCTTCAGCTCGACAGCGCAGAGAGGCAGAGGAGTCTCAGGGACAGGCGATGAGGCGACCCTGCAGACGTCCCGGAACTCGAGTCGCGCTGCACGACCATCGAGCTCTTGTGGTGCGAGACGTTGCGAGGAAGCACCAAGGGAGAGGAGCGAAAGGGGGGTACCGACTGACAGAAACATCGACGCTATAACCTGCTCACCGCGCTAGCTCTTCATAGCCCGTAGGACATGCAGGGCTTGAATGAGATTGACCGGAATCCAGCTGCAAACCAGCCGGCTCGGGGCTCGCGCTGGCTTACGGCCTTCATAGCCTCGCGCGCTACACTCGCTGGGCAGAGGCTGACGGCTTGATGCTTAATGATCCTGGAGAACTGGGACAGTTCCTGCACTAGGGATTCACCACCAGGGGCAACTCCACTCCTCGCCGCTTCCTCGAGACACCGCCGTCAGCCCGTCAGGCTGTGAGAGGGGGCTCTGAGGCTCAAGGGTTGCAGTCCTGCAACACCCCGCGACCACCATGCATCCCCGGTACTAGACGTTTGGGCCTTAGTTCTTCTCTTTCTTCTTCCTCTCCATCCCCATCCTTCTCATTTCTCGCATCCTCACCGTCTCTACTGTCCGCTCACGACCGACCTCCGACTCCGGTCACCCACCCTCCTTGTCGACCCTCGTTACACTTTAGGACTGGCTCCTGCTCACCTGTACGACTGCCCTCACGACATTCCTCTCAGTCGACAGAACGCACCTTCCCTCTCGTCGCTTGAAAACGAAAACTCAACATGCTCGTCTCATCTCTTCTCGCCCTCACTGCGGCAACCGCTGTCGCCGCCCACGGATCCGGCCACCCCCAGAAGCACGCCGCCGCAGCCCGCCGCATGCGTGACTCTGAGCCTGAGCTCGACCTCCGTTCCGAGCCCAAGCTCCAGAAGCGTTCCTTCTCCGGACGCGGTACCTGGTACGATGTCGAGGAGCGCATCTGCGCGTGCGGTGACTGGCACAAGAACTCTGAGCACGTTGTCGCCATGAGTGAGTATCACCGGGCTGCTGTGTTTTGCAGTTCTTCGCTTTCGCGGTCCCTGGCGTCCGCCCGGCGGATCCTGTTCCATTAATAGCACGACTAACCACCAGACACTGCCCAGTACGGCAACGGCTACCCGTCGGACCAGTGCTGGAAGTACATCACCGTGCAGGCCAACGGTATCACTGTCAAGGACGTCATGGTCGTTGACGAGTGCCCTCTCCCGCCCGAGGCCAACTGTACGACCGACGGCGACATTGACCTCTCGCGTGGTCTCTTCAAGGTCTTCGCCGACTGGAACGTCGGTGTCCTCGACGCGACCTGGTGGTGGCAGGACGGCCACGAGGGCGGCGACGGCGGCGACAAGCCCAAGTCGTCGTCCACCTCTGAGTGGCACGAGCCCTCGACCTCAAGCGAGCAGCCCACCTCGACCTCGACTTCCGAGTGGCACGAGCCGTCCACCAGCTCCGAGTCGCCTTCGCCTTCTCCTGAGCCCTCGCCTTCGCCGTCTCCCTCGCCTTCGCCCTCGTCCTCGTCCACGACCTCGTCCACCTGGTCCGAGACGAGCAGCAGCGCCTCCTCCTCGTCTGCCAGCAGCAGCTGGTCGTCTGCCGTTCCCTCAAGCTCGGCGTTCAACTCGACGCTCCTCTCGTCCTCGACCTCGGCCAACCTCACCTCGCTCACGAGTACGACCGCCAACCTGACCGCGTCGCTCACGGCCAGCACGAACGCGAGCGCTACCGGCGCCGCCCTCGGACTCGGCCTCGGCGAGCAGCCCGGAGACGCGCCCCTCGACATTGAGACGCCCGGCGCCGGCGCCAGCGGCGTCCTCGCCGGTGTCAACCGTATCGTCGCGGCCTATGGCCAGCTCATCGCCCGCGCCGCTAGGGGATAACTTGTATTCGTTTTGTAGTTCTCTTATGATCCGTGGTTTGTGAGCGAGCTGGGGCTGAGTCGTGGAGCGGTAAAGCCCGTGGCCTGGCTGAGCAACCGAGAGAACAGGTGCATGACGACATACTCTTGAGCAAGGGAGGACGGGCAGCAGACGAGGCCGGTGAGGGCAATCTGTCGTAAGAGAACAGACCAACAGCGGAGAGGCGAGAAGGTCAGATGTGCAGATAAGATGAGGGAGAGGATATCAGCAAAAGTGCGAAAGGAGATGAGATAAGTGTGGGTCGCAGATCAGTGGGATACACGTTCAGATGGTTCCGGCGCAGCTCACTCCAGCGCAGCAATCACAACCTCGACCGAGGGATGGGTGACGAGGGCCCTGCTCCTGGTCCGCAGCCAAGACCCAAGAGTCTGGCCAGGAAACGTGTTTGCTTTTCTTTCCGCCAGCCAAGTCGTGTGTGCGGCGCGGCTATGTCTCGGCATTGAGCCCTCTGAGCACCATTGGGCATCATCCGACAAGAGCGCCGAGGTAAACGAGGCTCGCCGAGCCTTATCTGCCATGGCACTCGGTGCTCTCTGCAGGCGTGGGAGACATATGGGGTAGATCGTGTAACGACGCTCCCCTCATGGCTCCCTCCCCTTCTCCTATGCATTGGTGCTCCGCCTGTCCAGAGGTCACGGTGATGATCTGGACGCAGTGCGAACAGAGCATGCATAGCCTCGACGCAAGAGGCAGTCGATGCGAGCCCGATGCCGACATCAGATGCGGTGCGGGGACCCAGATGTGGAGGACCTGGGGGGCGGGAAGTGCGTCAGAGCCCAGTGCCTTGGCCGGGGACCTTGTTGATCGCATCGCCCCGTTCTCGACGTTGCTCTCATCACAGCACACGACACACAGCATAAAGACATAAGAGCACGGCCTCGACGACGATCAGACAGAGCGTTTCGTTCTCATCTTCACCCCATTTTCGAAAGATCGACGGCTGCCCGCCAGCTGAATACCGACCCGACCTCGTCAACGACCCTCTCGACACTCTGACTCTTCGACCGCACAACACGCACCAAACCAACTGAGGTATAGTAGTTGGCCAAGATGAGTGACGAAGAACAGCCCCAGTTCACGTCGCTGAAGGACCGCATCGCCGCTCTACACCTGAAAGACGGCGGACCGCCAATCGCCCCCGGCCAGAAGGCTGCGCCGCCGAAGCCGAAACCGAAGCCTGGTTTTGGCGTCAAGCCCGCGCCGCCTGTTGCTGCGAAACCGAAACCGACAGCGGGAGTCAGAGCCTGGCCGCCGCCTGCTCACGACTCAGACGGCGAGACGAACGGAGCGGCCGAACACGAATCGGCCGAGGAGACGGCAAGAAAGCCCGCGCCCGCTGCGCCCCCGAAGCCGACCACTAAGCCCGTCGTTGGAGGGCGGAGGGCGTGGCCGCCGCCGCCGCCTGCTCAGGAGACTTCGGATGACGAGATAGAGGGAGAAAAGCACGAGAATGGCAACGAGGAGTCTGCGACTCCGCCAACAGCTGCTGCCCGCCCCGCCGCCCCGCCGAAGCCGAGAGCGATGCCGCCCGTCGGCGGTCGGCGAGCGNNNNGAGCGATGCCGCCGGTCGGCGGTCGGCGAGCGTGGCCGCCTGCTCAGCAGCCTTCTGACGATGAGGGGGAAGCGCCGTCGGCGCCCTCGGCGCCTTCGAGGCCGCCCGCTCCGCCCCGGCCGGAGAGGAAGGTGACGGGCGGAACGAGGGTCTGGCCGCCGCCCGCTTACGCCGAAGCGGAGGCGGCCGCCGAAGCACGAGGAAGCAGAGAAAGCAGCACTACCGAAACCGACGTCTCGAACCGCACCCGCTGCGCCGCTGAAACCGTCTGCAAAGCCGGCTGGAGGACGACGGGTGTGGCCGCCGCCTGCACACGAGGATTCTAACGAGGAACCAGGCAGAGAGCCCGAACAGGTCATTGAGCAGCCTGTCGTACCGTCGAAACCGGCCGCGCCGCCGAAACGTCCCGCGGCGCCTCCAAAACCGACACGGAAGGCGTGGCCGCCGCCGCCTCAGCCTGACTCGGATGAGGAGGCGGCGCAGGAGGCTCCCCAGGAGGCACCTGAGGCGGTTGGGGAGGCACATGCACCGGCAGCACGTCAGCCGCCCCCAAAACCGCCCAGCCGACCAGGATGGCCGCCAAAATCACCCGCTGTTGATTCGGATTACGGCCTACAAAAGGAAGCGAAGCCAGAAGAGACTCAGGAGCCAGAGGTCGCCCCGCGGCCTAGTGTTCGGCGTTCGGCTCCCCCAAAACCAACTGGCCGTCCCGCATGGCCGCCCAAACCTGTTGAGGAGGGGCAGGAGGAAGCTCCAGAGCCCAACGCTCGCCGGGCGTGGCCCCCTCCGCCTCAGGCGAACTCTGATGACGAAATTGAGGATGCTCAGAAGCAGCCCGAGGAGGCGGTTCCCGTGTCGAGGAAAGCGCTTCCTAAGCCGCCTGGACGTCCGGGCTGGCCGCCAAAGCCCACCCACGATGAAGAGGAGGATGAACCTGCGCAGCCGGCGGGTCGTAGAGCTTGGCCTTCGCCAGGTCAAGCAGACTCGGACGAGGAAGCGAACGACGTGGAGGTCGCGGCCCCTACCTCGAAGCCATCGTCGCGATCAATGCCGCCCCCGCCGCCGCGACGCTCGCCGTCCATAGCGGCGACTGACGAGGAGACGCCGGCACCTACGGTCCGGCCTACGCTCCCGCAACGTCGCAGCAGTGGAGCGCAGCCTGCGCCCTCGCTGCCTCCGCGCAAGGACGCACCACCATTGCCGCGCCGGCAGGCGAGCCAGGCGAGCGTCACTAGTCCCACTCCTGCGAACCGTCGGCTTCCGCCAGCTGCACCTGCCATCTCGCCCTCGACGACGGGACACTCCGCGACATCGGCAGGAAGTGAGCCGAAGAAGAAGCCTCCTCCCCTGCCTACATCTGCGCGGCCGCCTATTACCACTGCTCTGCGACCTACGCCGAGCAAGAAGCCCGAGGAGACTGGCGAGGAGGAGGAGAAGCCCAAGAAGAGGTTCATGGTGCCGCTCCCGCCCGGTGGGCTCGAGAAGCCGCCGCCGCCGATCGTGCGCAAAGCTAGTTCTGATGGCCCGCCGCCCATCGCTTCTGGAAAGCCGGGTTCCTCCGGCCCACCACCGGTGCCGACGGCGAGCCGGCCGCCGCCCGTGCCCTGCGCTTCGAGACCCAAGCCCTCCGCGGCGAACGGGTATGCGTATTCTGCGCATGCGCCGAAGACGGTGCCCGGCGCCGACACCTGTCTCATCTGCCGCGACTACTCTGCGCCCGACGAGGTCGCCGCGTCGTATCCTACCGCCAGCCTGCCCGCATCCAACCGCATCCCCTACCTCGCCGACGTGCTGTGCTCGCCCTTCCCCAGCTTGACCGACAAGGCGCGCGCGATCTTCACGTGGCTGCACCACAACATGCAGTACGACGTGCCCAACTTCCTCGCCGGAACGATCCCGCGCGGCCTGAACGCGGAGCAGACAATCGACCGCGGCCTGGCCGTGTGCGAGGGGTTCGCGGATGTGTTCATGTCCATCTGCCGAGCTGCCGGGCTCGAGTGCCGCCGCATCAGCGGGTTCGGGAAAGGGTACGGCTTCAGTCCCGAGAATGCCATGGCGAGCTTCGACTCCAATCATGCCTGGAACGCCGTCCGGCTCGAGGGCGGGTGGACGCTGGTCGACAGCTGCTGGGGTGCAGGCCACATCGACAATGGCGCGTGGGTGCAGCAGTTCAACCCCTCCATGTTCACGATGGGGAACAAGCAGTTTGGCGCACGCCACTTCCCCTCCGATGCTGGAGATTGGTACGGGCCGTCAAGGAGCTGGGACGAGTTTCTGCAAGAGGGAGAGGGCGGGCCGCAGCGCTACGGCACAGCGGACCAGATGGGGCTCGCGCTCGGGGAGGACGCGGTCGGGCCGTGGTGCACCCTCCAGAGGGGGCAGAGGTACGACTTCTGGTGCAAGTGGATGTGTCCGCACTGGACGTCTCGGCCCGAATTCAAGCCGTCCATGATCTGTCTGAGGGTCAATGGGAAGATCATCCGCCCCCAGGACGATGGGCAGGTCATCTCCGCCCAGGCCGTGGCGGAGGGAGAGGTCACGCTCAGCGTCATTGACAAGGTGAACAATGTCATTGCCGATGGCATGACGTGGGCCGAGTTCGACGCGATGCGTAGCAAGAGCTACGGCATGCAGCACCTCTACTCGTGGACCGTAGTTTGATAGGCCATAACCGCGCAGCGTAGATGCATGCAGCCATTGGTTCACCCGTTCACTTCCAACGCCAGCATGATGAGTGCACTAACATTCCAGACCCGATGAACGCCTCGCCATCAAGATCTGTCTCATTGGTGTGCCACTTAACGGCGCGAAGCGATTTCCGACGGAGCACTTTGGTGTGTGAGATCACCTCTCCCAAGCATCCGCGGACCCGATATCCCCGCCCCGGATCAACGGAGACGTCCCGAGTCACTCTCGCAGTCCGTCGGCCCCCGGCTTGCGCAGTCTTTCATCGGTGCAAGGAAGGTTCGGCGGTTCCACACTCTTAAGCTCGATTAGTCTTGCCGAGTTTATCTTGTAGCTCTGTTTCAAGACGTCTGGGAGCCTGAGTGGGGTATGCTGGATCCATACTGTTGTCGACGCTGTCCAGGTCTGCATCTGTAGAGATGACCCCAGGACGGGGTCGAGGCAGAGTTGTTCAGGCTGCAGAGAGCAGGGGCATACCGAGGTGATGGCTCGTAAGGCTCCCACCCCCGCAAGCTTGAGCAGACTTGTGAGCAACTCAACGCTGTTTCAGGCCACAGCCTGTCGCTTCCATTGGTAAGCCACCAGATCAGCGACGTGTACAGTATGGGGGCACCTGGTCTTGGCATTACGAAGATAGCTCCCTGCAAGCTGCGTTCGAGTCCGCGTCTGCAAGTGAGAGCAGCGGAGTTAAGTGAATGAAGGTTGGCGGTCCAGACCCTCAGTGCGGCCGCAAGTGTGTGAGCTATTCTGGGCACTCGTCGTTTCAAGTCTCGAGATGACCTCGTTTCGCCACAGACCACTGATGCTCGACCCCGCCAGTTGTGCGGAGGCATGCAGAGGGATGCGATATATGCCGGGACTCACCTGATGTGAGCCTGGCCGGACCTGTCTACCATGACTTGATGCAACGCAGTGGAGAGCGCTTCCGGGAGAGATGCCCGGGGAGCAAGCGCTTGCCTTCCCCTCTCCAGTGAGGAATGCCAAGACAACATCGCGTGCACGAGGTTGTCGTAATGTTGTGAAGGTTGAAGGTTCGGCGGTTCCAGAGTTTACAATGCACAGTCGTGGAGCCAGCTCGTGCCACTCGCAGGCCAAGTGCCATTGGTACGACGGCGCTGGCCAGACAGTCCTCGTTTCATCCGGAACCATAGTCGGACAATGAAGGGAGGAGGCATAGACAGTCCAGTCTCTCGACAGCACTATGACGGCGTAACCAACTTGGGCCCGCGTGACGTCGATCGATCAGTCACTCGGAGACTTTCAGAGCTGGGTGTCGAGCGGGTGGCGCGAAGGGGCTCGAGTCTTGTCGTCCTTTAACTTTGTGCAAGTTGAGGTCAATCACGCTCACCTCCACCGCCTGCACGATGAAGCTCACCTGCTGGCGGTAATGCCGACTCCAACGCGCGTGCCTTCATATACTGTAGGTCTCGAGCTTGACGAGGAGCGCAAGCATGCCGGGCTCTCACAAAAACGATGTGGCGGACATTTCGTTGGAAACGGAGAGAGCAATGCCTCGACTTACCTGTCTAGAGTTACGACCAGTCGCCACACAGCACAGTGCGACTCACGAACGAAGACTGTACGATGTGTGCGCGTTGCGTTGAGGTCTGGACCGCCTGCACACAGCATCGTTAGACGCGAGGTGTGAGGTATGAGATTGAGAAGCGAGGTGGAATGTTGGGAGGTCGTGGGGCCTCGATCTGCTGAGATGCCGGGGTACTCCACCCCTCGTCTGGACTCCAGAGGTCGGCGGCACCATGCTCGTTTCGATGCAAGTTGCTGAAAGCCTCGATCAGCGCCACACAGCACCATGCAACATGCAACAAGACGGAGAGAAGCGAAACAACTTCGACACAAGTCATTGTGAGATTGAGACCTGCCACACGCCGCAACCTGAGACGCGAGGTTGAAAGACGTTGTCTCGATCGAGATCTCAATCTCGATCGAAGAGCAAGACCAACGTCTCGAGGCATGTATCACTCCGAGAGCCTAGACTCGCATGTCCATATGCACACAGCAGCATGATACACGAGACGCAACGAATGCACTTCAGGTCTCTTCAGGTTCTCGGCTCGACAATGTTGTTTCGGGTCCAGGCGGTGCGGTCATGGCGTTCAAGGCCGTCCGGCTGATGTCATCTGTGTCGTGCGACCTGTCGCCACTCCCCTTCGCCATTGGACTCGATGGACGTAGCTGAGAGTGCATGCCGGGTGTGTCTGTGGGCATCCGACATTCCAAACGACGCCACCCTCGTACCGAACACTTTGACTTGTGTTCTGTCAGTTCGAATCTACGGTGCACGGTAAGGTCTGTCCACTTTCGATTGCGCAGCGCCAAATTTCTCTTCATCTGTTCTATGTACGTGCACACCCGACGTCCAGACCGTCCTAGCGCTCCCCCCTCCCGTCACATGCTTGCCAGGAGTCGAGGTCGAGCGGGCTCCCGTCCGATGACCGCGTCTCGATCCTGTAGTAGCAATGTCGCTGGACAATTGCGTACGAATGGTGGGTGGGACCAGAAATCTGGTACACCACCCAAACGCGTTGACGCCAATTGGCCTGGTCGTGCCTTACACCCTTCCCGCGTTCGTACCCTCTGGCCAGTGTGCGACAGCTCGGTTGAGGACGCGTCACGGAATTGGGGCTATTCCTGGCCCGTTCGGGTCGATGTGCAGCGCCAAGGGAGAGTAGTGGCGTTGCTGGAATCAATAATTCGAACCACACTATGCAGAAACTCATTGCAAGGCTGTCATTGAGACGTGCTTGAGGCGTGCTCCAGGTGTGCAAGGGGATTCTGTCATCTGTAGCGAGATGATACACCAGGCTTGCTAAAGCCCAAAGGCGAACTCGACGAAAGTAGGGTTCAGATATTCCGACAGAGTTTTGCTAAGGTTTGGCAGCCCCTGAACCCACGCTCGTGCGACGTGCAACAGACGTAACAGACGCACGTCCAGACGTCCGAGAGCTCCACTCTACGGCTCAAGTTATGCGCAGAGCTACACAGAGGTTGTGCGTAGGTTATGGCCAGGTTACGGCACGGAGTGGTCACCCAACGCTGCTCATGCACAATGGCTCAGAGAGTCGAGTTCTGGAAGCTCGCCAACGGGCCCGGGTTCACTGTTCATTTTTCACGTTTGAGTTAGTCTTCACCGGAGGAAAAGGAGCCGCGCAAACGGGAACGAGCTTGCACTTTCACTCGAAGATCTCGGCCTCTGCACACGACTGCATGAGGCAATTACTGTAGATGCTTGCATGCACAGAAGGAGACTACTACTGCTGCAAAGGTGGTCACGAGTACGCTACGGTGGGAGTCATTCCCAACTGTGCGCACGCAGGGTGCGATCGATTAGCTCTCGTCATTCCCTGAACCCCCCCTTGCCTCCCTTGTGTCCCTTGTCCCCCTGGCACACCCCCTGGCTCATCATCCATCGCGCGCCCAACTCTTTCCTTCCTCCTGTTCTCTTTCCTCAACGACGACCGACTGACAGACTGACGCACGCTCGTACATCTCCTGGGCCCGTCCGAAGACCATCTGCATCTCCTGGAGAGACAAACCTGCAGATCCGGCCTGGCCTGCCAGAGACCACGAGCTCTTTGTACTCTTAACAAAACACCAACGACACGAACAGGCTTCGTTTCTCCCCATCATTCTTCCCCGTCTTTCCTTGTCGACCCCGTCTCTCCTTTGTTCGCCGCAGTCTGTAACAGCCCCTCTCTCGCTCCCTCTTAAGCCACGCTCTCTGCTTCTTTCAGTCTTTACATCAACCACAAGTCGTTCTCGAGTCGACACCGTCACTTCTCGACACTTCGTCACCCTCCTAGGCGCTGGACGCCACTCACAAACTCAACATGGCAGAGGGATCTCTCATCATGGCTCCCGGCGCGAGCCTGGTTAGCACCGCGCTCACGCCCATCGCTACTCTGCACACCGGCGGCGTCCTCGACGCTTCCGTTACCCACATCATGCCTGGCAGCCAGACTGCCAGCCTCGCCGTCGCCAGCTCGACTGCAGGTGCTGCCCCGGCGGCGGCGCCTAGCATGAGCGTCATCGACAAGGGTCGCATGGTGCAGGGCATCTTCAATGGTGAGTGTGAAATGTGACGGACAATGGGTGCTGCGGCTGCGACCGCAAGGGCGTTCACAATGGCGTGCACTGTCGCAGTGGCTGCGTGGCATGTGACTGTGACTGACGATCGCAGGCCAAATGACCTACTACGAGACATGGGTGCTTGCCGTGTTCATGGCGATCCTCATTCTCTTCGTTCAGCCGCGGTTCTGGACGCGCCTCATGGCGTCCGTCGGCCGCAAGAAGAAGTCGGACTATGTCCAGAAGCCCCACTACCAGACCAGCTACGCCTTTAACATGGAGCGTCAGCTGGGACCCGTCGAGCAGCAGAAGAAGATCGTCGCCGGCGGCGATCTTGGTAAGGGCTGGCTGCTGCGCAAGGGCAAGGACGTCTCGACTATTGGCGAGCCCGAGCTCGCACCCAAGGGATATGGACACCGCTTCTCGACTTACCAGGGCCACATTGGCGACTCGCGCATGCCCCGCTCGTCGCTTCTCCCTCCCGGCCACGTCCAGCCCCTCTCGCAGCGTAGCAACGTCGACCGCCTCCTCGGCTGGGCGCCGTTTAGCCGCTGGCCGTTCCCGCTGAACACGCGTGCAAATGTGACCCAGCTCTTCATCATTGGCATCTACATCGGCATCAATGTGTGGGCCGTCTGCTGGCGCTCCGATGTTCGCAAAGTCAACCCCGTCACCGGCATTGGATCCGACTACAAGCGCACTGGTGCTATCGCCATGGCGCAGACGCCCGTCGTGATTGCGCTCGGCGTGCGCGGCAACCTCGTCGGCCTGTTGCTCGGCAAGAGCTATGACCACCTGCGCATCATCCACAAGGTGTCCGGCCGCGTCGTTTTCCTCTGCGGCGTCATCCACTCGGCCTTCTTCATGAACACGTGGTTGCAGGGCGGCCACTTCGCCGAGGCGAGCGCAAGCCAGGTCGGCGTGACGGGCTACGTCGCGTTCGGCGCTCTGCTGCTCATCTTCCTGACGTCGCTCCCAATCGTGCGCCGGTGGGCGTACAACTTCTTCCACATCTGCCACTTTATCGGCATCGTCGCGTTCCTGGCCGGCCTCGGCGCGCATGTCAAGTACACGATGCCGTGGTGCGTCGCCGGCGGCGCAATCTACGTCGCCAGCATGTTGATCCAGCTGTTCAAGACTCGCGTCGCTGAGGCTGAGCTCGTCGCGCTGCCCGGCTGCACTACCACTGTCGTCACCATTCCCGGACTCACGACCGGCTGGCGTCCTGGCCAGCACGTTCGGTTGCGCGTCATGTCCCTTGGCCCCGCCAAGATCGCCGAGGCTCACCCGTTCACGATCGCGAGTGCGCCCGACTGCGGCGGCCTCGTGCTGCTCGCCAAGGCCGCTGGCGACTGGACGACGTCCCTGTACCACTACGCCGCGACCGAGGGCGAGCTCGACCCCGAGGTCGGCGTGTTCAAGCGCCGTGCCCGTGTCACGGTCGAGGGGCCCTACGGCGGACTGGGCAACACGCTGCCGAACGCTTTCTCGTCTGTCCTCGTCGTTGCCGGCGGAAGTGGGATCAGCCACGCCCTCGGCCTCGCGCAGGACCTCGTCAGTCGCTCGCCGTCCGGCGCCGTGCAGGCGCGCACGGTCGACCTCGTCTGGGTCGTTCGCACCGAGGCGCAGGCCAAGGCCATCATGCCCACTCTGCTCTCGCTCGTGGCCCAGGCTCGCCGCTGGGAAGCCCGCGCGCTCGAGGGACGCCGACAGGGTGCCGACCTCGCCATCCCGACCGCGCTCCGCGTGCACGTCTTCGTGACCCGTCTTCCCAAGAGCTCGCCGCTCACCCTCGTGCCGAGCGGGTACAAGGCCAAGCTGCGCAAGGCGGGCAAGGAGCTGCCGCCTCCTCCCGACTCGGACTCTGAGAGTGCCGACTCGTGCGTTAAGGAGAAGGAGAAGGACATCGAGGTGCTCAGTGACAGCGGCTCCGACACGTCCTCCGAGGGACACTGGGTCATGTCGCGCAGCACGACAGGCACGTCAGAGGACTGGGCCGAGCTGGCCACCGCAGCCGGATTGGGCCGCAAGCAGTCGCTGGCGGAACGCACCAAGGCTGACTGGCTCGAGCGCAACCCGTCCAACGCCTCCGTCGCCCGTCTCCACGCCCGCGTCACGGACGCCGCGAGCCCGATGAGCACGGTCTCGACGTACCGCGGCCGGCCCGACATTGGGGGCGTCATCACGACGATCGTGGACGAGACGGCGGGGCGCGAGACAAGGGCGAGCGGCATGCTCGTCACGACGTGTGGGCCCGAGCATCTCGTCAACGACACGCGCGACGCGTGCCGCGCCGTGCCCGGGTGGAAGAAGAGTGGCGTGGGCGGGCTCGAGTTTGAGGCCGAGTTCTTTGCCTTCTAAGCGACCCCGTTCGCGAACGACCTTGCACTTCTTATGGGACCGCGCAAGCCGCTCGTCCCTGTACATTTTCATCTATAGCCATGCTGTACCATAGCCCAAAACGTCATCACGTCATGCACTGTGTACTGTGTAGAGTTGCGGAGGCCGAGTTCAATTGGGGCCAGTGGAGAGTGCAGTGACGAGGCTTGTGCACGCCCGCTCCCAGATCCCACGACCAAAAGTAACAAGACACAGCGAGCAAGACTAGTCTAACAAGTATCCATGTATCTCATGCTAATGAATCTAAGTATGACAATCAAGAGTATCCTCTACACCTCGGCAGCCTTAGCCTCCTCCGCCTTCTTCCTCTCCTCCTCAGCCTTAGCGTCCTGAGCCTTGTTATGCTCTTCTTTAGCCTTCCTCTCGGCCTCCTTGGCCTCTTCCTCCTTGCGTTGTCGTTCTCGTTCCTTCTCCTCCTTGACGCGTTTCTGCTCCTCCTCCTCAGCTTTGAGGCGCTGCTGCGCTTCGATCTTCTTCTTCTCCTCGTCCTGCTTCTTCCGCGCCTGTTCCTCTTCTTCCTTTTTCATCTTTTCTTCTTCTTCCTTTTTGCGTTTTTCCTCCTCGGCCTTTTCCCGCGCTTCTTCCTCCGCTGTCAGGGGACGGGTGGGGTACGACGTGCGCAGGCGCATGCCCGCCTCGTGCAGCGCGTAGAACATGGGTCCGCGCTTCTGCAGCTCCTCCTCCGCCTTGCCGTCGGCCGGATACATGAACGCATCGCGGATCGCGACAATGTTGGCCTGGATCTGCTCCAGGCGCGCGAGGGGGATGGAGGCGAGGAGTTCCTCGACGTGGTCGAGCTCGGTGGGGTGGACACGGACGGAGATTTGGGACCAGTCAATGAGCCCTGCAAAGGGGTAGTGCGTATCCTCGCTGGTGAGGACGGGGATGCAGCCGGCAAAGATGGCGTCGTTGACACGCGGCGACCAGCCCGCGATTCCACGCGGTTGCGGGCAGAACCGCGCCGTGTTCAGCTCCTCGAGATAGTCGTCGTACTTGTCGATGTGGTTCTGGGGGCCGGCGCCGGGCAGGAGCTCACGCATCCCCGCACCGCCGCGCGGACACGCGAGGCGGAGACGCTCGCTCTTCCCGCTGCCCCAGTACGTTCCGGCCCACGATATGAGACGGGGACGCTCGGAGACGGGCTTGATGTGGCTGACGGTCGGGAAGGAGGCGAGCAGGCGCGGGGATGTGCATGATCGCGGAGGCACGACGACGTCCTGTGCCGGCCTGTAGCAGGGACTGAACCAGTCGCCCATGACACTGAACACGAGCGTGTTCTTGAGCAGCGGGTCGGGATACAGGCGATGGTCCTGGCGCGCACTCCAGATCTCCCACGTGAACGCGAGACAGATGCCCCAGTCGTGCGTCATGACAAGAGACACGGCCTTCTCGCCCGTGTTGATGCCGGGAATACTGGCCTGGGCATGGTGCCACACATCGTGCAGGATAAAGTCGGCGCCCTCGCAGTGCTGATACACTGGCAGCACGATCAGGTCGGCTTCCTCGGCCGGCACGCTGATGTGTCGCATTGCGCGGTACATCATCGAATCGGCTGAGAAGCAGTGTGTCGGCTGAAGCTTGTGGCACTCGGCGGCCTCGATCTCGTCCTCGCGCGGATAGCCTGATACGACGTGCACCTTGATGAACTCGCGCTCATCTTTGAGGGTGGCAATGTACGCGCGCGCTTCCGGGAGGAGGACATCGCGCCAGTCGACCTTGGCCACCATCTCCTCCAGGATTGGGTCGTGTGCCTTAAACTTGCCCAACGGAGACGACGAGTCTGTCACGGAGCTCTTGCGCGCGGGCCGGCTCAGCGTGAGGAGCGGGTTTTCGCGGCGGCGCGGGCAGCCGTCGGCCTGCACGCACCGGCAGTGGCCCGTCTGCATGCAGACTGTAGGACTACCGCAGTCGTTCCAGCAAGGTGGCAGGTCTTTCAGGACCCACTCGTCGGGCTTCGAGCTCAGTCGGCCAGGCGTCGTGCCGCTGCTCTCGCCCTTGGCTGTGCGCTCCTCGGTCTGCTCCAGTTCGGCAGTCAGCTGCTTGTAGTGATTGTAAGACTCCTCGGTGCGCCAGCAGAGGTGTGCGCGGCGCGAGCTGTTGAACGCAATGTCGCCCTCGGTGCCGAAACGGATATCGGCAGACTCGGCATCGTCGAGGAAGAGGGGCCAGTCGCCCTCACGCGGGCAGCAGAGAATGTTCAGGCGCACGTCGTAGGTCGGGTCAGACTTGGGCGACGACAGCTGGAAGTACGTCTGTCCCTCTGCGCCAACGAGCGCGTCGAGTTGCCGCTCCTTGCCTGCCAGGAAGACCTTGATCTCCGAGCTGTCGGGGGCCACTTCGAGCTCAAACTCGCCCATGAACCGCGCCGCCTCCTCGGGCTTCTTCGGGTTGTACAGCTCAAACTCGACGGGTTTGTCGCTGTGCACATTGTCGCGAGGGATGCCGAGGTATCCCATCCCCTGCTCCTCGCGGAACATTGCTGTCGTGCGCCCATTGCCCTTCTTCGGCGCCGTGGGGGGCACCTCGAGAATCCACACCGTCGCGTTCCAGTTGTACCCGTCGACCTTTGTTGCGTTGGCGATGCAGTGCTTTCCGTCCTCGCACTTGAGGTGGTGAATGAGGCCCTTGTTGTTGAAGCCGACGTTGGCCGTGCAGTTCTGCAGTTTCCAGAGGTCGTGGTTGCGTCGATCCTCTTCCGTGACGTGCGTCATGGCGTCGAGACCGGGGAGCGTGCTGTGCGCGCAGTGCTTGGAGATGAACTCAAAGGTGTAATCGCGCGATGCAGCCGCCGCGCGGCGGAACACGGTCGCCAGTCCCTGCGGCGGCGCAACGCTAGGCTCCCACTTCAGCTCCTCCTTCGCATGCGCGTTCGAATACTCGGGCACGCCGTTCCAGCGCTTGTTCGCACGCCCGACGTCGCGGATCGGCGACTTGGTGCCCGTCTCGACACGCACGAGACGGACAATCTCCTCCTGCAGCCAGCGCTTGCCGCCGGCTACCAGGTTGTACGTTTCGAGCGAGGGAAGCTGGCGGGAGCGCGCGGCCTGGTCGAGGTGGTCGACGACCTTGATCACGCCCGCGACCGCGTCGTCGACGTGCAGCAGGTCCAGGGGCGGCTGGTCGCTGTCGTACTGGATCGGCAGGGACGCAAACGCCTGCGACAGCAGGCGCGGGATCCACGCAGAGGGGATAGATACGTTGCGCGAGTACCCGTACACCTCGGAGAAGCGGACGATAGCGCCGTGGAACTGGGAAGCGTCCTTCTTGACGGCGTTCTCAGTATACTCGTAGTGCGCCTCTTTCACTGCAGCCTCAGTCGCGCCCTTGGCCGCGCGGTCAAACGAGTTCTGCACAGCATCCTCGGCCGCCTTCTTCGTGCGACCGAGTGCAGTGACGGGCTGGATGAATGTTGTCTCGGTGATGGGCGGGCCGGACTCCTTGCCGAACACGTCCATGCTTGAACCGAGGAGCACCCAGGGTGCGCTCTTCCCCTTGCGCATGCCGAGCACGTTCTTGCCCGCCTTGTTCGCGTCGGCGACAAGCTTCTCGACCTGCGTCATGACCGCGCGAGTGCCGTCTACATTGACCTCGGCACACGCGTCATACTTGGGCGCGCACCACTGCTCGAGCGACACGGCGGCAAAGTGCAGAATACCAGAGTACTCGTGCTTGGCGAGCAAGTCCGGCAGGACGCTGCTCGACGGCAGGATGTTGCCCCGGTAGTATTCGACGTCGTGGTGGAGCGTCGCCGGTCGCGGCGCAATGTCGATCGCGTGCACCTTGTACCCAGAATTGATGAGCTCCTCGGCGACGACCTGGCCGAGGCTGCCCGCGCCGCCGGTGATGAGCACGAGGCGGCCAGACTTACCCCGCGACGGGCCAAAGATGGGCGGGAGCCACTTGCTGCCCCCGCTGCTTGAGCCCTTGCCGTATGCCTTGATGAACTCGTCCTCGATCAGGTCCTCGTCCATTGCCGGGTCCCAAGTGCCAAGACCAGGGACGTGCGATCCATGGTGGGGTCGTTGTTGTTGAGCGGCTGCTGCGCGTTGGTAGTCGTCGAGGGGGGAGTGGTAGACGGAGCCGGTGAAGAGGTAGACGAGTAAGGGGATGGCGGCGATGATGAGGAAGAAGCGATAACGCCTCACCAAGCCGAGGAAGGGGACCGGCATGGTGAGAGTGTTACGTGTGGTGGTGTTGAGTGGTTGAGAGATGAGAGAGTTGATCTGAAAGTTGACAAGAGAGTCGAGAGAGTTACGTGGTGTGTCTCTGTGAGTGCAGGTATCGGCTTGTGCGTCTCAGGGCTCCGCTTCAAAGTGCAAAGGGTCCCCTGCTTCAGTCTCTCATGTGTCCCAGACTATCTCCATGTCCCGCTTTTACCCCTCTGCTTCCCGGCTGCGAGATGCTGGTAGAGACATGCATAGCCATCTAATCTACACACATGCGTACTCATAAGCCGTCGAATGAAATCCATAGGCAAGGTTCAGGTGTCCTCCTTTCTCGCACTTGTAAAAAAAAGATGCGAGCGTTTGAGAAGAGTGAGAAAGATCTGACGGTTCCAGGTGTCCAGGCACGGGTTCATGCATGGCTGCACGGGATCGTCCCGTGGGCGAGAACCGGCACCCTGGGCCCTGGCCACCCAGGCTTCTTCCACCACCACCACGCGTCCACCCCGATTGCATTGCGCTCGAATCTTGACATTTTCTCTCATCCATCACTCATCAACAACCACACACACACACCACCAATGACCGCGGCGACAGCCTACCCCCCAGCAGCGGGGGGCAGTCACGACCCCTCCTCCTCGGGCGTCCGCGGCGGCCTCCGCTTCCGCATGCGACCAGTCCAGGCTGCCCTGCTCTTCGCCGTCGTCGTCCTCCTCCTCTCTCCAGCCTTCATCGGAGAGGACAGGCGCGACCACCTGCGTTCCTACGTCGCCGCTACGATCCAGAAGACCGGACCTCAGCAGATCGCCCAGCCCACCGGAGGGCTGGACCCGCGTGTCGTGCCGCTGACGCTCGAGGCGAGGTTGGAGCACTTCCTCTCGCGTCCCGCGCTCGACCACGGCGAGTCTGAGATTGTCAACGCCTACCAGTGTCCGCACTACACGTTCAGCCGCGACACCTACTTCTTCCACGAGGCGGATGGGGGCGCACGCATTGAGCGATGGAAGAAGCTCGACAAGAACGCCGTCAAGCTCGCGCGCAGCAAGATTATTGAGTACTTCAAGGAGCTGGATAAGAAGAAGGTGCCCCTCATCTGGGACCGGAGCATGGAGAAGGACACGCCGGCGCACCTCCGTCGAGGTATTATCTACACTGGTGGTGGACACTGGGTGAGTTGCCTCAAGCCGATCGCAGCGAGGCTGGTGGACTGTGGCTGATCAGGCGATCGCCGGCCTGCGGCCACAGCCGCTAGCGCTACACCTTAACCCTTAAGAGCCCCGCTGACAGGAAAACAGAAGGACATTGAGCGCCTGCGGTGGTCGCTGGATGTGCTGCGCAACGTGCTCAAGTCGACCCTGCCCGTGGAGATCTACCACTACGAGGGCGAGTTCAGCGACGAAAAGCTGCGAAAGGAGTTCATCGACGACTACGGTGTCACGCTCGTGCAGTCCTCTGCGAAGAAGACGGACGGCAAGGCGTGGCAGATCAAGAACGCCGCGTTCGTCGACACGCGCTTCACCCAGTTCGTGTACATGGACAGCGACAACATTCCGCTCTCTGACCCGGCCGAGCTCTTTGAGAGTGTCGAGTTCAAGCAAGGAGGGAGCGTGTTCTGGCCCGATCTGAACAAGGACCATCCCGAGAACGCCATCTGGAGAGTGCTTGGACGGGACTGTTCCGATGAGCACTGGCCCGCCGAGAGCGGACAGGTCCTCTTTGACAAGAGCGCGAACAATGGGCTGAACCTCGCCGTGCTCCATCTCAGCAACCACATGATGCTCGAGAGCGACTTCTACGGCGCCCGCGCGTCTCCCCGACTACAGACACCAGCTGTCCACCCCCTGACTATACAGCTAACCATCAGCGCTACTCGTTCTACGCCCTCGGCCTGCCGTACCAGATGCCCTCGCGGATGTTCTCGAGTGTAGGCGGCTACCAGCGGATGGACGCGCGGTCTGATCCCGACTTTTTCTGCGGCCACTCCCTCCTGCAGTGGGCCCTCACGCCTCCCTCGGCAAAGCACGACGCAAACTTTGAGCCCAAGCCCGGATTCCTGCACACCATCCTGCTCAAGGCGCGCTACGGGCTGCAACCTGACAAACTGCTCAGCCACGTCAAGCGCCCGCGCCTGAACCAGATCAACGACGAGCGGCTCGTACGCACACTGTACCAGTTCACGGGGGAGTGTTTCGCAATCGACCTCAAGGGGCCTGATGGCGCGCCCAACGCGTCCAACTCGTATGGAGACGGACAGGGCGTCGAGATCCAGACCTTTGAGGAGGTGCTGAGCTACAAGCCCGAGGTTTGGGAGTGGATTAGGGATAATTCGAAGAAGATTGCCGGCATCAATGTGCCCGGCGAGTAGCGAGTAGACTTAGATATATCATATATGCAAAGGGACGATTTGGGCTCGAGTTGGCCAGTGAGCGGGAGCGAGAGCAGAGTGAGCGAGAGCAGAGTGAGCGAGTGGCCATTGGGTGGGTAGTCAGAGCACTGGCAGTCGGCGAGCGGAGAGCGGAAAGCGAGTCATGGTCGGCGGCGTCGCTCAGCTCGTCTTCCCTCGACCCCCTCCGACCACACCGGAAGAGAGAGCAACGCAACTGGCGATCCAAATGCTGCATTAAGACAAAGACGTTTTTTCTACCAATAAGGGGAAATCAAATGCTCGAGACGGGGGGACACGATCCACAGTTGATGTCTTGGGGGGGTTCTATTCGAAAGCGTGTGAAAGGGAAGGGAAGGGGTGGATATGGACAAGAAACGATGCGCCCCAGCCTCAGGCTTCACGTTTGGAGAGCTTCAAGGCTGAGAGGAAGAGTGGAAGAGAGGATGGGAGAATGGAAGAAGGGGAGGAAGATGGAGGGATGGCCTACGGCGTCCGCGTCAGAGGGAGGAAGGGGAAGGAGTCGCGCGAGTGTTCTTCTGAAGAGGCAGAGTACGGCGCATGGCTCGGCGGCGTGCGGTGCAGTGTCTTCCTCGGCTTGAAGATCCGTGTGGGTGTCTCTGGCTCATTCTCCTTACCCCCACTACTTTGTTCCCCGGACCCCTCAGCCTCAGCCCCGGCCTCAGCCTCAGCCTCGCCGACGACCAGAGGGATCCGGGAAGCGCCCTACTCCTCCTCGTCCCTCTTCTTCGCAATGAGGACACAGTGCTGGCCACCAGCGCTGCAGTCGACCGCATCGTACGGGCGCAGCTGCTTGGAGCGCACGAGCGTCGGGACACTCGCCTCCTCGACGGAACCCAAGCCCAGCTGGCCCTGGTTGCCCAGGCCCCAGGCGTAGACGTGTCCGCTCTTCGAGACCGCGAGGTTGTGTCGCGTTCCGGCAGAAATACGGGCGATAGGGTTCGTCGCCGGCTCAGACCAGGGAGGCATGTCGGGGACAATCTCGTAGGCTTCGGGGATGGGCGGGAACGCGATCTGTCTGTCAGCTCGGTCTGAAGTGAAAGAAAGCTAGAGTGGGAGTGGCGGCAGACGGCAGTGCCGACCACTCGCCTCGCCTCGCTGCGCTCGGCGTTCGGCTCGTACTTACTCGGACGGGCTCCGGGACATACTCTCCCATGGGCACACGCAGCGCGGCCTGCGCCTCGAGCAGCTTCATCTGCTTGTCCTCCTTGTCGTCCTCGGACGCCTTCTCGAGCGCCTCCTCCGCCTCCTTGACCTTTGCCTCGCGCTCCTCCTGAATCTCCTTCCTGCGCTCCTTCAGTCCCTCCTGGGCGGGATGGTCCTGAGCCAGGCCGAGCTCATTGCCGTCCTGGCGGCCGACGCCCCACACCTCGCCATTGTCAAAGAGGAAGAGCGAGTGCGCGTCTCCGCCCTCGATCTGGACGACACGCGCGCCGCCGTGCTCCTTGGGGGAAAGAGCGGTCACCTTCTGCGGCCGGATGATCATCTCCTCAGAGCTGTCGAGGCCCGTCTGGCCGTACGTGTTCAGACCCCAGGCCCAGACGTCGCCGTTCTTGTCCACTGCAAAGGAGTGGAACATGCCCGCGGCCACGTGCACGACGTTGCGCAGGCCGAGGCGCTCGGGCTCCAGACCGGCCGCGGCGCGGCGGGCAAGGATTCGTCGGCCGAGCTGGTTCTGCTGCCCGTTGCCCCAGACGTAGACGTAGCCGTCGGACGTGAGAGCGAGGACGTGGTCAGCACCACAAGCGACGTCGACAATCTCCACGCGCGCAAGCGCCGGGAGCTCCATGGGAGTGAACTGGAACTTGGGGTGGCCCGGGACACCGTCAAAGCCGAGGATACCCTCGTTGGAGCGGAACGAGCCCCACGCGCGGAGACCGCCCTCAGCCGACAGAGCGACAGAGACAGAGTCACCCGCAGCGACCTTGACGGCACGGAAACCCTCGTCCTCGAGCGCCTTGACGACGAAGGGCCACGTCTCGAAGTCCTCAGCAGGAAGCGTCGAGCCCGGGTTCTCGGGGTCGGGCTGGTTGGCCGTGTTGCGGCCGAGCGCGGCGTTGTCATTGATGCCCCACGAGCGTGTGTGGCCCGCCTCGTCGACTGCAAGCGTGTGCATACCGCCCGCGGCGATCGACTCGATACCGCCCGTGCCCGCGCCGAGCTCGCCGTCCTCACGGTGCTCCTCAATCCTGGATGTTAGCGGTGGCCGGTATGAAATAGGGAGCTCGCGCTCGCTGCGCTCTCTGCCCGCACACTCACCACTTGTGGATCTGGGGACGCGGCTTCTCGTCCAGGTCGTCGGGGCCGGTACCGAACTGGCCCATGTCGCCCGTGCCCCACACGAAGAGCGCGAGGCCGCGGGCAGGCGGAGCCTCGGGGAGGGGGTTGATCTGGGGACCGGTGCGGCGGCGCTTGACCTCCTTCTTCTTGGGAGGCTCCTTGGGCTCTTCGGCGCGGGCGCGCTTCGTGCCATTCGTCGTAGCCTTGGGCTTGGGCTCCTCCTTGTTCTCAGCCGACTTGGGCTTGCTGGCCGGCTTGGCCGCGGGCTTCTCCTTGGACGCGGGCTTAGCCTTGGCCGCAGGCTTCTCCGCCGTTTTGGAGGAAGCCTTGCTGCTGGCCTTGGAAGTGGTCTTGGACTTGGCCGCCGGCTTGTCCTCCTTCTCGGCCTTGGAGCTCGCCTTGGACGTCGTCTTCGACTTGGTGCCGCTCTTGGGCTTGGACGCCGGCTTGGACGTCTTGCTCTTCGTCGAGCTGGTCTTAGACGCGGGCTTGGATGCTGCTGTCAGTGGACAATAAGAGGGCTTTGCTCACTGGATCGCGCCATGTTGTTGATGTGTGACGAAGGGGATGGAACGTTCGTCTGTTTTGCGATGGAGAGCTCAGTTGCTCTTCCTCGGGTCGAGGGTTTTTGGCAGCTGCTCTTTCGGCGAGCGTTCACAAGGACTAGGTGCAGGGGAACTTGCTTGAGTACGTTCTTGACGAGCAAGCGCTAGTGCTAGAGAGGGGTTGTTGTTGTCCTGGTGCTCAAGCGGCTCTCACAGCTCTGCGAGATTTGATTGTTTTCTCCCCTTCACCGACCGGGTCCCAGTGAAGCGGGGTCAAATGGCATGACGCAAGGTCACGTGTGAACATGATTCTCTTGATTCGCGTGGCATCTGACACCCGTGCCTTGCCATGTCGCGTATGTTTTGTTTTCGTTGTTCTGTTCCTTCCGTAAAGGGGAGGCATGATTAATATAGCATCACGTGATGATGATGTTTGTGTGCGACACGTCAACCGGACGAACGCGTGCCGTGCGCGCGCGCGTGTGGGGAGGATGAACCCTTGCACTGCAATGGATGCCAGGCGGAGTCACAAGATGGGAGGTAACGCGTTTTGGGCAGCAGCGAATAAAGTTTGCGCTGGTTTAAGAGATTGCCCAGGACGGACACGATATGGGCCAAGGTCGCATGGCGCATATGGCATGCATGCCGGGGATGACGGCACGACCCAGGGCGGGGCCATCAAGAACAACAAAGGCTGCTAGAAGAGAGTCCTGATGGGAGTCCTGATGAGAGGGTCCTGACAGGACCTGATGCTGTGGGGGGCTTGGTGGTGGTGTGTCCCTAAGATTTCTTTCTACCTGAGTCCTATCGGACTGGCTGGGCGATGGGCACAGCCGTTACTGATTTGATTAGTTGACCTACTGTAATGGGGAAGTGCATGGGCGAGTGACTGATTTCTTTTTCAGGTGCCATGGTGGTAAGAGTCAGGAACGGCAGGTTCTACCACCAGGCACGGATGGCTTAGCTCAGGCGACGACGGCTGCCAACGCGCAAACCTCAGGAGCCTGGCTGTCTACGGGCTACGGGCCCCCTGTGCGCTCGGCTCAGGCCTGTGACCGACGAGCGAGCGAGCGAGTAGGGCTAGCTAGCGTAGACTTGACTCATCTCGAATGGCTTACCCCGCCCATGGCCCATCTCACCTCATCTCTCTCTCACTCTCACTCCTCCTCCTCCTCCTCCTCGTCCTTCCCACCACCGAGCTCCCCTCCATCCCGACTTGCCTTTCTCCTCATCCATCACCCATTCCCATCCCCCATCATATACACTACAACGACCCCCATGCCCATCTAACCGCAAAAACACCTTCATGTAGTCGAGCATCGACACTCTCCCCGCATCCACAGCAACCCCCCCATCTCCCAACACACACAAACAATCTCCGCTCACCACATCACACACACCCGCGACTGCTCTACACATACACGATAAAGGACGCGTCCGGCCAACCAACAAAACATCCACTTCTGCTCCACACACACACCTTGCATTGAACAACGACGACCCGTATCAACACCCTCATCGCTTTCCGGACACTTGTATTCCCTACTAGCATCGCATCGCACACACATTCGAACAAGCATTCCCCAATCATCCTCACTTGCACAACCATCTCTCATCCACCATGCAGTCCCTACCCATCGACACCCCGTCAACCACGCCCTCCCGGCGCCCGTCGCCCCTCCTGTTCGAGCCCCACGATCGCACCGTCCAGTCCTTGTTACCGCCATCCCCGAAGCGCGCCCGCGCATCGCCGTGCTCGCAGCCCATGCACCGCCGCGTGACCCCGACAAGCACGCGCAAGGGCGTGTCGCGTCTCTCGCCCATCCCCTGCACATCGGTCTTTGGTGGATCGGCGTCGTACTCATCGGCGTCGACTGTGCCCGCCCGTAGACGCACAGGCGATGATCTGCGGAGGTCGCAGTCCTCCTCCAGGCGGCGCGACATGACGGTTCCCTTGGTGAGTTACTCTAGTGAAATTGTTTTGCATGGGGTGTCGTAAGCTTGCAAAAGTCTACATGACCGAAGCGGTTCAATTCAAGGAAGACATGTTTATTGATGGTTGTTGCCTCATGTGTGACCTGAGTGTGAATTGGCTGACGTCTTGTTTAGCTCTCCCAGACGTTCTCGTCCGTGACCCTCTCGCAGACGGCGACCCCGCCCCTTGCCCCCGACCTGTCCCCCGACGCCTCGTTTCGCTCGACGTCGAGCGCCGGCCTGAACATGGCGACCCCCGTGACTGAAGCCGGCTCCCCTCTGCAATCATCCAGACTCAAGCTGCGCACGCCTGCTGCCTTGCACGAGATGACGCACTCCTCGTCAACCTCCCCTATGCCTGCAATCAACTCCCTGCTCGGAAGTCCTTTCAATGCACGCAAGCCCCTTCCCTTCGAATTCAGCATTGCTTCCCCGACTTGGAATCACGGGAAGGACAACGATGCCAATCTCTTTGCCGACGGGTGGGATGCCAAATCGTCTTCCCCCATGGACATGATCGGCGGTCTGAGCCCTTGCCTGTCCAAACCATACCACTACCATTCGGCGGATGACGGCAGTGGCAGCTGCACCAGCGCCTCGTCGTCGTCCATGTTCTCCCCAGAGAACGGCATCGGAAGCGGTGCTCGTCCTTCGGTCGTTAGTCTCTGGAACGACGACTCTGGCGACGAGGACGTACCGCCCGCTGCACGCACTAAGTTGTTTGTGGGAAGAAGCCTGAAGGGGAAGAAGAGTGCGACGCGCCTCAAGCCAGGACCCGCCTCTCCGCTAGTCATGTCCTGCACCACGAACAATACCTTTTCCAGCAGCCCCGACTCGTCACCCGTCCAGACCACATTCCTCTCAGCCAGCACATCCGCGGTTGAAGGAAGGTCTATTGCTGGTGGCCTGCAGTCGCCCGTAGAGGACTACTTCAGCCGCAGACCCCAGTCTGCCAGGAAGCGGACACCCAACGACCGCTTTGCCTCCTCTCCTCACGAGCTCTTCCTCTCCCAGTGCAACAGTCGCGGGTTCGAGTTGACGCCTCGCCCCGACGGACCGCGTACTCCGGTAATCCCCATGTCTGATGACATTGCCGAGTCGGACCACTCGCCCTTACGGCACAACGCCGCGGCAGTGCATGCTCTCCCTCTGTCCCCGTCGGCACCTCTGCTGTCGCGCAGGCCGGAAGGACTGCAGTTACATCTGACACCCCGCAATCATTCGCCGGTGGGTGTGACCCGCTCAAAGTCGAACCGCGGAGCACGCTCCCTCCCAACGAGGCCGACGCTGCGCCGCGGCTTTACGGAGCCTGCAAACAAGACGCCCAAGGCCCCGCCCGTTCCTCAACTTGGCACGCCCGTGTCCGAGCTGTTTGGGGATGAGAAGCCGTCGCCTGCGGCTTTCTCCTCGACTGGTCTCGTCAAGAAGCGCGGCGCCCGCCTGAACATCCCCCGATTCGCAGCCAAGCTCAAGGCACCCCAGCCCCTCTCCTTTGATGACAAACCGAAGACTCAGGCTGCTGCCTCTGCTCCTACTAGTGGTAGTGACACTGAAACGGACGACTCGGAAGGAGACCAGCTGTCTCCCATCAAGCCCTTGCGATCAGGCCCCTTCAGGATGTCTCTCAATAGCACTCGGACACACTCTAGGAACGGGTCCTTGGCCAGTGACATTGCGTCGTCGCCGTTCCGCCGCTCGCATGGACATGCGCGCATGTCTTCGACCGCCTCTAGTATTGGCGGGTCGAAGGGCCTGCGCCGAAAAAGCAGCGCCATGTTTACGTCTGCGGGTAGTATCGCAAGTGACACTGAGTTCAGTCCGGCCACACCCACAAAGCCTCTGCCACTGGCCCGTGAGTACCCAATCGTTGAAAAAAGGTAAACAACAATGTCCCTGACGAAATCTCAGTGCAGCAGCAACCCATGTTCGGTATCTCGACGCCATCGCCGGTTTCAGCCACACACTACCCTTTCTCTCGCCGGTCGTCTGTTGCCTCGATGGCCTCAATGGACGCCACATCACCAGCCTGCACTCCGTCGACGGGCCCAGGAGGACGCGTCCGTGCCTTATCTCGAGGCTTGGCCGCCCGTTTATCCAACCCGATTCCGTCCACCTCGTTCAGGACTCAGCCGCCGTTCATGCCGACAACGCCGGCGTCCGTCTCAGCCGCCGCCGAGGGGTACATCCCGGAGGACGCTCGTGCAGCTGGGGCGGGCAGACTCGAGCGGGACTTTACTCTTGTTCAGGCACTTGGGGCCGGCGAGTTTAGCAGCGTATGGAAGGTCAAACATAAGGGCGACGGCAAGATGTGGGCCGTTAAGACGGGCCGCCCGTACACCGGCGTCAAGAACCGCTCCCGCCAGTTGGAAGAGGTCGCGATCCTGACACGTCTGTCGGAACAGCCGCACCCCAACATTCTGCGGTTTGTTGACTCGTGGGAGCAGGGCGGCCGACTCCACATCCGCACCGAGCTTGGCGAGTGCGGCGATCTGTCTCGTTACCTGCTTTCGCTCGGTGACCAGCGCGGCCTCGACGAGGGCCGTGTCTGGAAGGTCATGGCTGAGCTCACGTCCGCGCTTGACCACATTCACTCAAACGGGATCTTGCACCTGGACTTTAAGCCGAGCAACATTCTCGTTACGAGGGAGGGAGCGCTCAAAGTCGCGGACTTTGGTATGAGCGTGTTCAGGGACACGGGCTTCCTCAGCGGCGAGAGCACGCGACGCCCGTCGCCGACCCTGCCCTCGTTTGGGGAGGACGCGGACCAGTACAACGACCACCTCGCGATCACAACGAACAAGCTGTTGGGCCTCGCGCCGAGCCCTATCATGGACCGCGAAGTCGAGGGTGACCGCGAGTACCTGTGCCCCGAGGCGCTTGACGATGCCACGCCGGGTACCGAAGCGGACGTCTTTAGTCTGGGCATCCTGGTGCTCGAGGCTGCCCTCAACGTGTGCCTGCCGTCGAATGGTGAGGCCTGGATCAAGCTGCGCAGCGACGACTACTCGGACCTAGACGAGCACTACGTGCAGCGCGAACAGGTCGTCGGTACGACCGAGCTTCCTGTAGTCTCTGGCCGTCTGCTTACGACGATTAAGCAGATGATGCTGTCGTCGCCACAGTGGCGCATCAAGCTCGACGAGGTGCTCGCGCTGGACCCCGTCGTACGTGCGGCCGAAGCGATGCGCGGCGAGGGCATGTGGCAGGCGAGCCCCGCGCTTGTCGAGGAGGAGGACGGGTGGCTGGACTGGCTGCTGTCTTAGGCGGCCGCGGGCGGCGAGTACCGTCGCGACCAACACATACATTTATCTTGATTTGCCTCTCGCACATTCACATTCTCATTTCAGTTTGTCTCATATCAACTATAATCATTAGCATTGCATCAACACCTGTGTACACCTGACATGCCATTTGTTTCTATGTCCGCGAGCAGCGAGCGCAGCGAGCAAATTCATCGGCGAACGTGGCGAGTCATCACTAACGTTGGAGCCAGCGGCGACTTGTGCCGACGCAAAACGCGTGGAGGCGCGCAAATGACCGTCCAAGTCCCCAAGTCGCAAGAATGGTGCGAGAACATGACCGCTCATGTCCATATCAGGATGGGAACAGGGCCGCATGTCCTTGTCAGGAGTGAGGAGCGTGACAAGGGAACCCAAGGGCCTACCGGAACCCTGCTCAGGGAAAGGGAGGGCGCTACGGCCCAGGGTCCGGAAGACTCAGGGCTGGATCAGATACGGCCCACGGCTCGGCTCTGGGGAGAAGGTTAATACGCCATCGAGGCGTCCTCGCAGGACGTAAGTACGTAAGAGTAGGAAGTAGGAGCAGGGTTGTACCGATAGACCAGGCAAAGCATCTTAGACTAGGAGTAAGATGGAAACAACTCATCCAAAATTAAAGTTAGGTCTAAACTTGTGGCGTCCACCTCTACTCTCTTGGGCTCATTACTCCATCCGTCCACCGTCTTCATCGGCGTGGCCCGCCCAGCGCGCCCAGCACTCGAAAGAAAGCCGGAACGGATGGCCCGGGCTGACACTACTGTAGAAGGAAAGGAAATCTGTCCGGATGTCTTAGAACTAGCGCTTTCTGCGGCGTGATACGGCGCGGCGCCCGTTATTCCCGAAGAGATCGAAGAGCTCGAAGAAGCTGGTCACCATAACTATGACACGATGGCTGCACGGTCGCCGATGACTCTACGAGGCGGTGATTGCTGTTCGGCGAATGTGCCCCGCATGCGTAGTCTCATGACCACGCGTGCATGTGTGCATGTGCTGTGCTCGATCACGATGCCGGAAACAGGCAACCCCGAACAAACTTCAGATCTCACGGTGACTGCACCTCTGGCCACCTGTCACTTCTGGGCATGGCGATTCTCTCTTTGGCTTTAGTTTATGCTCCGAGTATGCTAACCCAATAGACCTGGGGATGTCACCGCAGTCCCCCTCCGGACCTCCCTCCTTTGACGATGGTCACCAGCTGCCCGATCAATGGTAACTATTGCCCACAAGGCCCACAAGGTCCATCATGATTCCTCCATTGGCATCGAGTTGCCCGGGGAGTGGGCTCACCACCCACAACCAAACAACGGACCAGACTGTGGGCCCGTGGGATGGATGTGCAGAGGTCGAAAGACCAAACCTTATCTCGCTCTCTCCGTCTGATCCCCATCCTTTGGGCCAAATCTCCCAAATGTTCCGCGGAGCGCGGGGGGCGTCCGTCTCGGGTCGGCGGTTGTGCGCACGGTGCTCATGGCAAGTGTCGGCATGTCGGCAGGTCGGCATGTCGGCACGTTGGCACGGCCAGCCGGCCGGCACTGGTTTCGGCAGGCCCGAGTAACCCGAGTCTGCCGAGCCTGAGCGCCTGAGTGGAAGGAGGGGATGGCGGTCTGTGCTTGAATCGTTACGCTCGCTTATGGTTGGAGTGACATGACATCATTCCCACAGCACCTCGCTAGGCAGAGTTTGACGTATGGTGTGTGTGATCGATCGACTTGACCGCAGAGATGCTAAGGAGAACAGGAGGGAGGGGACAAAAGGTCAAGCGGCGAAGATGCGGAGAACTGATCGAACGGTGACTTTTACTGAGGAGGGTCTGAGAAGTGCTGCTACCGCACGGCTGCACAGCAGCGCACAACATGATCGATGTACAGAAGAGGGACGAGGAAGAAGGTTCGTGTCCGCTCCGAGATCTCTGAAAAACTGATCGAAAGGAGTGTTGGACACCAAGTGGCATATCGCCCATGGTGAGATGTGTTGTCGCGGAGTCGTGAAACACGGGTTTGTGACCCGAGAAGTGAGAAAGCGGGCATTGTGATCGGCGCAGCTGAGCGTTGTTCGGTTCAGAGAGAAACGCACTGCAGGTGATCGCTGCGCGTATTGGGCTAGATGCCCCTTCGTCGGAAGACAATGGTCAGACGACACTGCAGCGGGCACGTCGTGCCCGTGCCGAAGAGCGGCGAAGCGAGACTGAACAGGACGTGCCGACCGGCACGTATTGAACCCATTCTAGGCCCGGAGTATGGTTGTACCTTCTTCCTCTTTACCTCTATTCATCCACTTCACTCATGTCCTCGTATCTTGTGAATTGGCAGCCTCGAATCGAAGTGATAAGCGCGAAAGGATGTTCGAGGCAACGAAAAAGCTATTCAACCAGGTTCGGAAGAAGCGTTGGTGGTATTCAGTGTATCAATATCTGGTAGCCTCGAGAGCGGTCTGCGGTCCGTGTGTCCTTTGTATTGGGGTCAAATAAACGAAATCCTCGTAAAAGGAAAAGATAAGTAGTCCATTCAGTCGCAGGTCCGGAGTAATGCTACAAATCGACACCTGCAACGTTCTTTTGACGTTGGACCCTCTCCCAAAGCTGTGCTCTCTATCCCCGCCGACTGTGCAGATTTACAGTTTCGAAATAGAAGAAACAGGAGACCGTCAAAGAAGCGAGCCATATTGAATCAGGCCCGGAGTAAACGAGTTGTACCTTGTTCTTTCACTGGCGTCTGCTCTTTTCAACGGAGACTTCATCCCTTCAAAGCCGTTCCTTCCACAGTCTCCTGTTCGATTCTAGGCGCGGGCCAAGCTCTACGCACACAGTTGCCTCCGAGAATAGCTGCGCCGCTACGTCCGAAGGAACGTGATTGCGCTGCGAATGCGGACCAGTCTCTCGAAGCGTGCCTGCGTACCTTGGCGCTCGATGTCAGTCTGGATAGACGAAGCGAACATCGTTTCGACAATGTCTTCTGGAGCGTTCCTCAGCCATTACCCATTCAAGAGTGAGTTGTCCCTCTACCACTTTCCTTATCTACTGCAGTAGTCTCCAAACTGACAGTGCTGACAGTCTAACTGATGAATCGTCCCTCTTCCAACACACGCGATGAGTATCAATCGTTCCTCCCCCAGTCGCTAGCGGGGCGAATCGTCCCTCACCCCAGATCTCGACCTGGGCCATGTCAGCTCGCATGCTCGCACGAGCGAGTTTTCATCGGAAGCTCGCCTCAGTGCTGCGCCGTTCTTCGGCTTGCGCGACACTCGTGCACGTACTAGCACTAACACTGAATCGTTCCTCATCTTTTGATCCTTTGGTGTGGCTACGACGGGATTTTCGGACCTGAGTCACTAGCCCACATTCGGCATTCGACGAGCGCGGCGAGCGGCCATGGACTCCTTGCCCGCAGAGCTAGTATTCAATGCTGTGCCGCACGTACTAACGCAGAAATGTTGGGGCTCACTAGCTCGCGGCAAGCGCCGGTGGGTGCCGCACGACCAGCTCATGGACACGTTCGGATGTTCGGAGGATTCGGGGGAGTACGAAGACCACGACAGACGGCAGATGCGGCGCCACGCCGAGCCGCGGGAGATAGAATGGGAGGCACGCCGAGCGCGTCCCGAGTCTCAATGCCGACTGATGTGGGCACAGATCGTAGCCGCAACACCTCAGCAGGGTCACAACCCGCGCACGCAAGTGTGTCGCACTCGTCCGACGTTGCTCCGCATTGAGAGCTGAAGCACGAACGTCTGTTTCACCGCTCGCCGCGTAATCCTACAAACATGCATCCTCCCTGGGGCTGGCGACAGTTTGGTCGTGCGACTGCAGCCGGAAGTACGGAATGAGACTTGGCTGGGGCTGACCGAGCGCGCTCGCCTGCCCGAGCTCGTCGTAATCCATCCTTTAGCCGTGACGGTGGCTGCGGGCGCCACTTGCTCTGCCGTTTTCGCTCGCCACTTTCACTACTAAGCGCGGATCGCTACTCATGGGATGTGAGGAATGCTGGGCTGGACGCCTCACTGGGATGCTGGCGGCTGTCTTGCACTATCTTGCACCCTTCACAATACTCTCCGATTGTACTCAGCAGTCTCCTGTCGCAGGTTTAGTGAGCTTGACTTGGCTGACTAGCACGCACCTTCTTTGGGTTAAGACATGCTCAGCATATAAGTCCTCCCGGTCTCTGTGCTGGTTCTCTTTCTCCTGCTCCTGCTCCTGCACTCGCAGAGCATTCTTTGATCCCTCTTCACAATGCATATACTAGTGTATTTAACATTTTGAATATTGTGTTCTATTTATTTTTGATCGTCGAGCACGCTTAGAAGACCTTCTCGACCATCTTGACGCCCTCCTCGGACTCGAGGCGGTCGCGGAAGAGCTTGGCGGTGGGCTCGTCGTAGGGGGCGTGGACACCGGGCTTGTTGAGCTTGCCCTCGAGGAGGAGCTGGACGGCAAGACCACAGGGGACACCGACGAGGCGGGCCATGGCCGAGGGTCCGCCGTGGCGGTCACCGTACTCCTCGAGCGAGGCGACGACGGTCTCCTCGCGGCCGTCGGCGCGGATGACCTCGAAGGTGTGCTGGAGGAGGACGAGGTCGACCTCTCCGGGCTCGAACTGGCACTTGGTCTCGAGGAGGGCCGAGAGGGCGCGCATGAGAGTGCCGGCCTGGGCGACGGGCTCGTCAGAGAGCATGCCGAGCGAGGCGTACTTCTGGAGGATGACCTTGGACTGGTCCTTGGGGACAGAGGGGAGGTTGAGGATGCCCTGCGAAACCTTCTCCTTGTCGGCGGGGACACCGAGCTGCTTGGCGGTGAGCTCGAGCCAGGTGATAGGGGCGGCGCCCTTGGCGACGAGCTCGTTCTGCTCGTCGTTCAGGAGACCGAGGTCGGCCCAGCCCATGACGACCTCGCAGAAGCCGCCGTAGCGCATGGTGCCGCGGATGAGGTTCTCGCACTCGGGGATGCCGTAGAACTCGCGGAAGACGGTCGAGTCACGGTTGGGGTAGGCGACGAGGTTGTAGGCGGGGGTGAAGTAGTAGGGCTTGGCGAACTGCATGAGGTCCTTGCCACCGCCAATGACGGCGGGCTCGCCGTCCTTGAGGAAGCGGCCAGTGTTGTTCAGGGCCATGAGGACACCGACGGGCGACCACGAGAACTTGTAGCCGAGAGCGTTGTCCGAGGCAGCGGGCTCGGTGAGACCACCGCAGTACGAGTAGAACGACTTGACCTTGCCACCGGCCTTGTGGATCTCGTCAATGATCTTGACGGCGTAGAGGTGGTCAACTCCGGGGTCGAGACCGATCTCGTTGAAGCAGACAAGGCCAGCGTCCTTGAACTTCTGGTCGAGCTCGCGCATCTGGGGGTTGATGTACGAGGTGGTGACGACGTGGGCACCCTCGGCAAGGGCAGCCTCCATGACGGCACGGTGGTGGGTGTAAGGGACGAGCGAAACAACGACGTCGTGGCCCTTGACGGCGGCGCGGAGAGCCTCGGGCGACGAGACGTCGACAGAGACGGCGGTAGCGTTCTCAAGGCCCTGGGCGAGGTCCTGGGCGGTCTTGAGGGTACGGCAGGCAATGGTGAGCTCGTGGCCGTGCTCAGTGATGTACTTGGCGGCGGGCTGGGCAACGAGACCAGAGCCAAGGAGGAGAACCTTCTTGCCAGAGGTCTGGCCGTTGGCACCGGGGCGGACGCCACCGAAGACGGGAAGAATGTTCTTGCCGTCCTCAACCATGGCGCGGCCGAACTCGGGGAGAACAAAGGCGGCAGTGTGGACATCGTTGTTGTAGTACTTGCAGTCGGGAACCTGACGAATAGGCTTGTTCATCTGGCGAGTAGGCTCCTTGGAGCAGACGAGGAAGCCCATCGAGCCGGAGGGGTAGGTGGGGATGGTCGAGGTGGCGTACTCGGCAACGGGGAAGAGCTTCTTGGTGGTCTCACGGAGCTCCTTGATGAGGGGAAGGTGGAGCCAGATCGACTCGCCCTGGGTCGACATGTGGCCGCCCTCACGGAGAGCGTTGCGGAGGAGGGTGAAGTAAGGGGCCTCGAAGAGAGCGGCGGCGGGGCCGACGGGGTCCGACGAGTCAGTGACGATAACGTCGTACTCGTTCTCGTGCTCGGGAAGGAACTTGAAGCCGTCACCAATGAAGACCTCGACACGGGGGTCGTCGTAGCACTTGGAGAGACCGGGCAGGAACTGCTTCGAGACACGGATGACGGCCTCGTCAATGTCACAGAGGGTGACCTTCTTGACGGTGTCGTACATGAGGGCCTCACGGATGACACCACCGTCACCACCACCGATGACAAGAACGCGCTCGGGGTTGGGGTGCGAGTTCATGGGAAGGTGGGTGATCATCTCCTGGTAGGAGAACTCGTCGCGCTCAGTGACCTGGATGGCGCCGTCGAGGACGAGGACGTTGCCGTAAGTCTCGGACTCGAAGACGAGGACATCCTGGAAGAGGGACTTCTCGTGGTGGAGGATGCGGTTGACCTTGAGGGTCATGGCCTGACCGGGCCACTGGGGCGAGATCTCACGGAACCATCCGTCGACGATGGAGGGGTGCGACTGAGGAACGGACTCCGACGACATTTTTAGAGAGGGTGAAGGGGGGTGAGGAGGAGATAAGAGGTAGTGACGAAGAGTTTTGAGCGCGCGCTCGGCGAGACACTGCGGGCTGCAGCCATTCCGGGCGAGCGGACTTCTCCGTGGACGAGTCAAAAATCGGGAAAATTTCTGACGTGGCAAACCAACCACGTGCGTTATCAACTCACTCTCGCCTCAGCCGAGCCATCAGACTGAGCCGAGCCTCCGCTCCTGGGGTGATAAGATTGCAGGAAGCGCTTGCAGACGCTATGCGCACCGGCACTTGCGTCGATAATCGGCTTCTGCTCATAGTTCCCAGGCCACCACCGCAACTGCGTGGAAACCAGATGACTGACATCTGCAGCGCTTCCCAGGTCGCTTGGTGTTGACTTGCATGTCGCCTGTCTCAGTCTGCCCACGTCAGTTTCCGTAATGTGGACTCAAATACAGAGACAGTAGAAACCGACCGCAACCTATCTCACACCAAACGCAGGATCATGACTGAGCCAGGAGCGAAGCCACAAAGTTCTACAGACGACCTGAAGCAGATTAATGAAGGACCTCAATGTGGTAGTAAGTGAGTGCATCAGTGGGAAGCTGCTTACGTCTCCCAGCTCTACCAATAGCACGAAGTCTGACCCGCCAAGGACTGCGTCCATGCGACGACACTCATCTGAGAGCCTTCGATCATGCAAGCCCAGGAAAAGAAGACTTTTCGCCCCCCTCGCCTCTCGCGATGTCGACCGTAGGCAGACCGAATACTCTGCATGCGGACGGTCTGAAGCGAGCAGGCTTAGAAGAGGGCGCCGCAGTTAGGAATGGAGTCGGCTTGCCTGGTCCTGCGAGCAAAGCAACCATTATTGAAGTGCAACACCATCCTTTCCGTCCCGCCGCTCCCGTGTGTGCACCCACCGGCTTTCAGGTCCTCTTGGGACCGCAACTAGTCACAAGCGAGGAGACACAGCACGATTCGAGGATGGTGGAGTCTTCAATAGTTCTGAGGAAAGCTGTGCCGAGGGCTGCGACAACTGCGGTCCAGTGAGAGCCTAAGTACTGGAGATCATGTTGGGCAGGCCTTCCCATGGGGCACCCCTCTGCACTCACAACACATGCAACAGTGGCCGGAAGCTATAACTGAAGGCCAATGACAGTTGAAGGTGTGCGGGAGGTGGTTGTGCCCCCCTCCGGAAGGTCGCACAAGCTAAGCTCGTCCGCGTCTAGGGGACTCGGTCGCATGCACGCGTGTAGCAAGATGCCCTGTGTGCCCGTGTGCCCGTGTGCGACGTACGCGACATAGAGGGTGGAGGATTAGCGCCAAACGGAAGCAACGGTCACCGCTGTCGGTGCCGCAACTAAAGAATGGTCTCACCGTAGACATCTCAATCCTCTACCACAATTTGCCATCTCCTCTTCTTCATCTCGCAATCAAAACCCTCCAACGGGGCATAGTTCGGCAGGGTAAGTCCCCCCCAGACAAACCTTCCAGACTGACGGCGTCACAGGAATAGGAGAATCAGGCCGGCCTGATCTGTAAGCTCTCGCGTCCCGTGCCCGCTCGTAGCCTCCACTGTCTTCCTCGCTTTCGCTCCGAGGCTCTTCCTCCACCATGACAGATGACGAGCTCGAAGATGAGCTCAAGGAAGGAGATGAGCACAGACACTGCATCTTCTCTCCATCCAGGACCTCGCATCGCATTCACCTCCACAACGTCGCCACCTCCTGCTCTCTCATGGCCCAGGTGAGGATAGGGAAGGTGTGGGAGAGTACTGACCCCAGGCAGCCGGTGTTCGCTCGGTGGACATCGATCAAGCCACGATAGTCGTCATTCCTACCACAGCAACACAACCTCCAGCGGGAGCTCGTAAAGCGACCATCTTTGTCTCTGAAAGCTGGCTTTCACACTCGATAGACGCACATGATCTCCTTCCCTTCGACACCTACTCAGTCTCCTTCTACAAGGAGTTCGAGGACAGGAAACCCGACATCAAGGACCTGAACAACTCATCATTACGCCACCCCATCGACCAGACGAGCAACGTCGCCTCGTCTCACACTACTGCGGTGAAGCGCGAGTCGAGTTCCAGCGGGCAAGAGACTGGCGCCGGAAGCAACACGAGCCACGCCGCGTCCAGGGTGCCTACGGCTGATCGGGCGGTACCTTCTTATGCCCTCGAAAAAAACGACAACGGCCAAGACGTGGTCGTTCTCCTCGACTCCGATGATGAAGGCGAAGGTGCCATTGACGACGACGATGACGATCTGGGGGGTGCCTTAAAGCGTTTTAAAAAGCGCAAGACTCATGCAAAGGACGTCCAGAAGGCCCGCTATGACGTTGCCGAGTGCCAGAAGGATCGAGTGCAAGAGATTATCAACGCACTGAGGGCATGGAGGCGCGTTGGTTCGGCGTCCAAGCAAGACACGGTCAAATACCTTCGCACAAAAGTCAAGTTCGAGGGCTGGGTCTCTATCTTTGAAGCAAACCGCCCTTACATCATCCAGAACGTCCCTGGAATGGGAGATAGATGGGGTACAGCAGCCTCCAAGGGCTATAAGTGGGAGTGATATCAGCATCGGCTTTAACTTTGGGTGCATGTGCCGTTGACAGCCCTGGCCGTTAACTCTTGTTGTAATCTTTAGCTGGGAAGGGATGTAAATATGTGCAGGTACCCCGTAGCCACGTCCGAACCAGAGAGCACAGAATCTACCGTTGAGCTCTGAACTGTGATATCTTCTTCGCGGTCTCCACAACTCAATACTACCTCTTTGCCTCATTCGCTTGACTGTGGTCAACACGTTCACCCTCGCTCTTGTGCGGAGGCGGGCAGCTCACACGGAGTGGAAGTCTCATCGGAGCCAATTAGACCTAGACCACTGCAGGTGGATACGATTATATCGAGTATCGTGCATAGCCGAGCGTCACCCCATTGACGGCTCTGGACACTCCGCATCATCGATGTATGTTCGTTAGGCATCTACGCAATGCGACGGTGAGACCTATAGGGGCAAGGTGTCAGTGCCACTGCTACCTAGTTAGTAGCGGGTTTGGAACTCAGCGTTAACCCTCAAAGAGAGGGGAGTAAGTAAGGTGTTGCTCTGGGATTGCTACCCCTATCCATAGCCTTTGTTCGACCGCTTCAGACAGCGTCAACTCTTCAAGCCGCGCCACAAAGCTTCTGCCACGAGCGAACCCGACTCTTCCCCCGGCACACCCGGACCGTCGCGTATGCCCCGGAACAAGTCTTCCGGACGAAGACGTCAGCACTCCTTTCGCGATCGAGAAGCGCAGCTCTGCAAGTCCGTCAGGCATGTTGCTCGTGGTCGATGTCGACCGGCGACTAACCTCAATTGCCGGCGACTAACCAGGCACCTCCCAGTCTGCAAACCTCCGCCCTCGGCGGTGGAGACCCTCACCTCCTTGCGATGACGGTTATGCTCACGACCGACCTGGATGCGGTGCATAGAGCGAGCAAGGAGTGCGGAACGTTCGGTCGGTGCTTGATATTCGTTGCAACCCCGGCGTCTACCCCGGTATTCTGAGCTGGTTCTCCGACGACTGCTCCAGGTCTGCTGCAGGTCTGCTCCAGGTCTGCTCCAGGTGCCTCTCACGGCGGCTCCTAATGGCTCCCAGCGGCCCCAAGCCACCCCTGTCCCGCAATACGATTCTTACGTGGAATGTTTGAATGTGTTCCACCTCCAAACGCAGGCATCCTTGCTGCGTGCCTGAAAGTGGCCGCTTCGCTCATCGCGTCATTGCAAGACTTTTCCGGTGTCATCGGCGTCTGCGCTGCAGCTCATTGCACACCGGGTGCTCTGGAGTGCGTGCTTGTGCCGTCGGCAGCGTGCTCTGCATGCGTGTATGCTCTCATAGCGGACATACCCCGGAAGTACGACATGCATACACGTCCCGGCGCAGCCTGTCATCGTTCACGATGAAGTCACCGCTTCCTGGTTGAAAGACCGCACTCGATCAGGCGCGGGCCGACCTTGTGCCGGAGGCACGCAGCTTGCAGGTGTGCGGAATGCGGCGCCAGCACGTCGCTCGTGAGCGCAGTCGTCTGATCGGCTCGCTCGGTGACGGCCCTGCGGCCCGGTGAACCCGGCGAACCCGGGGCACGCTGGTCAGGTCAGTCAGTCGCTTGCGGTTGCGATCGCTCGGAGCGCGGAGCACGGACAGTGTGATGAGCAAAACCCTGCACAACTCGTGTTGGGCTCCTGTGAGCGCCTGCGACGCTCCTGCAAACCATGTCTAAGATGTCTAAGCATACCTGAACTCACCATGTGATGTGCCAGTGTCCATCCTTATCTTGAACCCACTATGACACTTGTTTCCTTACGTTTTTTCGAACATTTTTGAACCGTTTTGGGCTTTTTCCGGCGCGCCACCTGCCTCCTGACCCCAGCTGGGCTGCTGCTCGCTCGACCAGACCCACTTGACCGACCGGATTTAATACTGCGGAGCAATTCAGCAACTCTATGCTGTCCTGGCTTGTCCCGGAAGTCCGGAGCGACCGGAGCGACCGGCGCGACCGGAGTTGTCGTCCCCGAACCCGAAGAACCCTGGCTCCAGCAATCACGGACATTCCGTCCCTGCGAGAGAGTGCGAATGTGCAAGAAGATGCCGATTGCTTGCGGTCGTCGACTGACACGGGTCAACGTTCAGTGACGAAGTCGTCGGCGACGGTAATGCGGAATGCAGAGAAACCAGTGACTTGACCATCCAGGAGCCGGCAGTGCAGTGCAACGCATGCAGCGTCCCGCACACTGTAGGGTACGGAGGGATGAGGGGGAAAACAGACACGAGACGAGCAATCGGTTCCTGGACCTTGGTAATCGGAGCATAACTCGTCGGGCAAAGCAATGCCTGTAGCGCTAACAGACTAGCAGACAGGGCTCGGCACCGTCGGCACCCTCAATGTGCGCTCCTGGGGTGGTACTCTCGTCATTGCCTTCCGCTGGCCAGCGTGCTGCCTCCGTTGCGCAATGCGCAGGCCGATCACGAGTCTAAGTGTGCTCTGCAAGCGAGACAGTGTTCTTTTCTCGTCTTCATCTCCGTTTACGGGGTAGCAGTGGATCAAACTTAGATCGGTCTAGTCGGCGAACTTTGGCCAGGGCTGTATGAGCCAAACAGGTCGTAGGCAGGGGAAGCGAGTTTGGGCGAAGACTGGCTCGGTTCAGTGGGTTCACGGTCCGGCGCGGAACAGAGATGGTCCCCGGCCCAATACCAGGTCCAGAGCGAGCCAGGCTGAGCGCGGCCAAGGCCAGAATTGCGGGACCGTCACCGCTGCGCAGCCTTAGGTTACTATGCATTCGAAAATACATCGCGGGAGGTTCCACACCGCATGCGACGTTGTTGACGCAGCAAGAACATCCGCCAGTCACTTGCTGTTTCCGTCATTCTCCCTCGGTATCGACATCCGCCTAGCTGCTCAAGAGAGCCTGACAAGTTGGCTCGCCATCCGCACAGGCAATTGGCGTGCAAGAGTGATCAGCACTAGACTACAGGGTCATACCCTCTGTGCCCTTTGTGATCTGCCTCCTAGCTGCAAGGCACATGGGTCGGTGGACATACCGCGATGTGCAAGCAAGTGCACAGTCGCAACAACGCCACATTGCATGGAAAACTCCGCCTCGTATCAACACGGAAAATGGCGATGGTAAGCACACTGTCTCGGGTGGAATTGCAAGTCTCCGCGGCACGCAAATGTCCTAGCACGGCGCGTGGATATGCAGGGCGTGCGTAGCGGAGTTCAGAGACTTCCGTCGAGGCTTCCGGAGCGTTTCCATTCCGTTGCCATTCCAAAGCCGCGGTGCCGAGGCAGTCGCACTATGTGCCATTAACTTGCTAACAGATGCCAAGGCCCGTTTGGTCTGCTCATTGCGTTGTTTAGCTGGTCGAGCCCCCCATGTTCGCGTACAAGCTCGCAAAGAGTCGTCTTGGCGAAGCTTTCGGGGTTCTAATGCGTGTTTTCGCGAACTTCGAAAAGCGGCTGCGCAGGTCTGCACTGTCTAGCTAAGTTCACTGCGGCGGCATCGTGTCCGCCTTGCGGAACCCGGTTTCGTACTGGGGTTAAGTGTTCGCAGGCCTACCGGCTCGCCATGTTAATCAACCCATGAGGTCTGCTCTCCCAAATCCGCGACGAAATGGCAGGAGGTGTGCGGACGATCCACGATCGCGCAATTGAGCGAAGCCCACCATCAATGTGTCGAAATGAGACATGCCACATTGATTCATTAGCGGCTCGCAGACAGCTGTCAGCAGCTGCGATGCAGTAACCGCCCAGTAACCGTTATCTACGAAACACTGGGCGTCGTGCGCTCCGTTTCGAGGACATGTTGAAGGTTGCGGCTCCAGTGGGCTCGTTACGATCGCAATGTCCGTCAATGAGGGAGATCTCCGCATCTCACTCCCGAAGGCGCTGGGGCTGGCGGATGCACCTGTACGGTTAGAGTTGCAATCGTGCCGGTTGTGCAGTTTGATAACGCGGAGGCACGGAGCGAGCAAGCGCCAACTCGATCCTTCAGCGGTAGCAGACGGCATTCGAAGGGCAGCGTAAGGGGATCGAAAGGGCTATGCCGGCATCGTCAGTGCCCATGGTGCCGCATGTGCTGGCGTTGCCCATCGTCACGTCCGTGCAATCGCAACGGCATGGCTTGCACTAGCTCTGCATAGGGCTATCACATTACGATGCGCCATGCATCACGCTGCTCAGTCGCATCAGGTGCATGTCAGGAGTTGGCTAGGAGCGTGGTGGTCTGTCACTCTGTCGTTTTCAGTCCAAGTTGAACGCCGTCAGCGGTACGATTGAATTCAATCTCCCCTGACCCCCGTCTTTTCGACTCCTTCGTCAATTGCGCGGCTGAAGGAAAGCACGGCTTCTTGACATTCGTGCCGTAAGCTTACCACTATGCATGCACTAGGTACGTCCGATGGGGACCCTGTACTAATCATGTCGTTCTTACTTGCAGGACATATTGCAGGACAGTCACCGTAGGACACGGACTGGGCAGCCAAGACCGGCAACCAACGCGGCCAAGGAGGGATCAGGCATTCAGCTCGACAAAGGACCGTAGGAAACAGGCTACGGGAGGTGGGCCGGGATGCACGGGCGATTGTGAATGCAGCCAAGGTCGCTACTCAGGTCAAGCGTTCAGGTGCTCGCTGCCGGGCCGGACGGGCTTGCCGTAGACCACCGTTTGAACCCATCAGATGCACCAAGTACGGTCAACGTACTCAGGTTGACCGTTGCTCTCATGCATGTCTACCGCTTCCTGAAAGATATTCCAGGCTCGTATCGGCTCCTCAACATGCTTCGAAAGGGCGCGCGGTCAGAATAGTAATCGACGATTCAGTAACGAGGACAGGCCGGAGCCGGTGTTCCACCGCCGGGGAATAACGAGCTGAGCACACGTCACGAAAGAACACGATGTACGAGAAGTACGAGAATAGCCAGGACGCGGAGATTCTATACCGTAATAATTGCAGTCAAAGCACACGCAGACCCAATACCTGCAGGACGGGTCGAAGTCGTGACTTCAGCCCTGGTCGCGACATTTGCTCTCTC